TATGCTATTTTTGATCTTTCCTCTAAAATTTTCTATTTGCCATTTCATTTCTTTTCACTGTCTAGATATTATAATTCATTCCCAATGTAACAAAGATATAAAAATCAAATTAGCCAACGTCCCCACAGGCAGATATATATTTTTTCCCAAACTGCATGCTCGTTTTCTATACCTTCAAAATCTACCTATTTATATATTTATGTCTATTTCCCATTTGATTACAAATATATCATTCAAATGTTCTAGCATTTTAATGGTACACTCATAATCCAAATTATTCTTAGAATCCCTATATCAAATGGTCTCCCTTCTATCCCTCATCTGATTTAGATAAACCGTTTATCATTTTTCTCTAGTCATAGTTGTGTGTAAACTGCTAAATGCAGGAACATGATATTGTTTGTTTTGGGTTACCTGAATACTACCAGTGTTATACACCAAAGTAAGCATTCAAAGTGCAAGTTTTAAGTTCAAAACATGCAAACTGGAAAAATTATCAAAGTCAGCCATGTTGTCATTTTAGTTACCCTCACTCTAAATTTTAAATTCACTTTGAATAATCACTTTAATAAATACCCTTATATGGATTAGCTGCTTCTTGAACATTGTTATGTAAACTTATCAGACACAACATTAAAACCTGTTTAATATCATGTGTTGCCAAAACTGCTCTGCTGTGTCAAGGCATTGACTAGTGTCTAGTGGTATCTGGCACCAAGACATTAGCAGAAGATTATTTAAGTCCTGCAAGTTACGAGGTGGGTCAGATTGAGACATGAGGAATTTAGAAACCAAGGCAACACCTTGAACTCTTTGACATGTTCCTCAAACCCTCCCTGAACAATTTTTGCAGTGTGGCAGGGTGCATTGTCTTGCTGAAAGAGGCCTTTGCTCTCAGGAAACACCACTGCAATAAAGGTAGTATGTGGTCTGCAACAATCACTAGTTAGGTGGTACATGTCAAAGTAACATCCAAATGAATGCCTAAGGTTTCCCAGCAGAATATTGTCCAGAACATATCACTGCCTGCCTTCTTCTCATAGTGCATCCTTCTGTTATCTCTTCCCCAGGTAAACAACACATTCACAGCCATCCATCCTTTTAATCTAAAAGAAAACATGATTCATAAGACCAGACAACCTTCTTCTACTGCTCCATGGTCCAGTTCTGACCCTGAAGTCCCTATTGAAGATTCTTTCGGCGATGAACAGGTGTCATTATGGGCACTCTGACTGTTCACCTGCTGCTTACTATATCCCACCCCATGACAGGTGCTACTGTAACAATATAATCAATGTTATTCACTTCACCTGTCAGTGGTTTTAACCCCTTAAGAACAGAGGCAATTGTACATGTTCTGACCAAAACAAAATCATAATTTAACTTTTTCATGTTAAGTGCACACACTCTTATTATATATCATTTTGTTTAGGCGAAACATGGCTTTCATTTCACATCAAGTATTTATATGTGGAACACAATTTAATATGGATAAAATGTAAAATAAAATGTGAGAAATGAAGAAAGTTATTTTCAATTCTCTGCATTTTTACTGTGAATCCTGTAATATTGTTAACTTTTACTTCAATAAAACACACATATTTATATGCTGTGATGTTCCATGGGTACATCAATGCCCACCATGTACAGGTTTTATGGTGTTATTTAAAGGGTATTCAACATAGGATTTGCCCAGTCTTTTTTAGTAGCCACTTAGTCATGAACCCTGACCAAAGTTAGTGTTCATAATGTTTTTTTCCATTTGTCACAAAAAAAATTGCTGATAATATCATTGTAATTATACATTTTACTGCGTTAAAACACTTATATGTTGAGCGATGCCCCCCATGTAGAGGTTTTGTGGTATTTTTTTAAAGTCGCAGGGTCAAAGAGCTTGCCTATTTCAGTTTTTACACATTGAAATTTTGCCAGATTGGTTTGTTGGGCCTTTGCTGCCTTTTAGACCGTATGGCAGCCCAGGAATGACAATTACCCCCATCATGGCATACCATTTGCAATAGTAGACAACCAAGGGTACTCAAAATGGGATATTTCTAGTCTTTTTTTAGTAGCCACTTAGTCACAAACCCTGGCCAAAGTTACTATTCATATTTGTTTTTTTCCATTTTTCAAAACAACAACTGCATTTTCACTGATGATATAATCGCTATCATATGTTGTACGGTTTCAAAGCACTCACATTTGTATTCAGCGAAATCTCATGAGTGCAACAGTACCCCTCGTGTACTGGTTTTATAGTGTTTTGAAAAGTTACAGAGTAAAATATAGGACCTGCAAATTAAATTCTCTGGACTTTCTGCCTGGGTTGTCAGGCAGGTACCTCAAATGATAACTAATAAAACCACTTAATTATGGAAAAATAATAGCTAAATATACAAGTAGTATTTATATATATATATATATATATATATATATATGTTTATATTTATATATTCATTTATATATATATATATATATATATATATATATACTGATGTGTGTAAATATATATAGAGGCAGGACTGGGAAAAAAATTAGGCCCGGGCATTTTTCAATCAGAGCAGCCCCCTAAGTAGGGGGCGGGGCTATAGAGGGTGTGTTTTGTCATCACTAATGACAAGCACGCCCCCTCTCAAAGTGAGCATGTTGGTTCAATGCGCAGAGCCCTGCTGAAGAGCTCTAGCATTAGAAAAAGGCCCTGTATTTGTTCTGCGCAGCGCAAGCAAATTTAATAATATGCTTGCGCTGTGTTTGCTTTTAAACTGTCTCTGGTGTCTCCACACGTGGGATACCAGAGGACAAAAGGGCCAGGAAAGCGTATGGTGCATGTGTTTGTGGGATTGCGTATGTGTAGAGTGTGGTGTGGTATTGTGTAAATAGGTCAATTTTATTTGTGTTTGTGGTGTAATATGTGTGGCTAGGGGCAGTGTGTGTGTAAGAGATCTAGTGTGTAAAGGACTCAGAGTGTGTGTGTGTGTGTGTGTGTAGAGGATTAAGAGTGCATATTGGGTAAGGGATCTAGCGTGCATCTGGAGCGTAATGTGTGTAGTGGTGCTGTGTGGGGGGTGCTGTAGTGTGTATATATATATTTGGACGTATTGTATGTGTGAGGGGCGCAGTATCTGTGTGTTAGGGGTGCAGTGTGTGTTTGTGTGTGTGTAAGAGGGGTGCTGTGTGTGAGGGTGTTTATATCTGCCGTCACATTCTAGGTTTCTTTTTTTTGTCTGTTAACTCACTGATGGTTATTTTATTTATTATATATATATATGTGTGTGTGTGTGTGCTGTATATGTGTGGGAGTGTGCTGTGTGTGGGTGCTGTGTGAGTGAGGGTGCTGTCTGTCTGAGGGAGCAGTGTCCGTCTGAGGGTGCTGTGTGTGTCTGAGGGTACTGTGTGTGTCTGGGTGCTGTGTGTGTCTGGGGGTGCTGTGTGTGTCTGGGGGTGCTGTGTGTGTTTCTGAGGGTGCTGTGTGTGTCTGGGTGCTGTGTGTGTCTGAGGGTGCTGTGTGTGTGTGTCTGGGTGCTGCGTGTGTGTGTCTGGGTGCTGTGTGTGTCTGGGGGTGCTGTGTGTGTCTGAGGGTGCTGTGTGTGTCTGAGGGTGCTGTGTGTGTTTGGGGGTGCTGTGTGTGTCTGGGTGCTGTGTGTGATTGTGAATTTATTTATTTAAATTTAAATATATTTTTTATTAATAATTTTAAAAAAGTTATATCCCCCCCCTCCCTTCTTACCTTTAGCCTGGGGGGGGGGAGCCGTTCTGCCTGGGAGGGGGAGCCGTTCTGCCATGAGGGGGGCCGTGCTGCCATCCTTCCCTGGTGGTCCAGTACTTTGATCTCCCACCGGCCCATGGAGGCAAAGAGCAGGGCCGGCGCTCGGGTAGCACTGGCCCTGCAGGGGCTGGCAGGGGAGATCCTGCGATCTCCCCTGCCGGCCTCGGCCCACTGCCATCGCGGCTCACCAGGCATTTGCCCGGTATGCCCGATGGCCAGTCCGGACCTGTATATATATATATATATATATATATATATATATATATATACATACAAAGAATGAAATTATATCTATATAATATATAAATATATACATACGTACAATTTCAGTTTTGTCTGTCAGGCAGTCCTCCCTCGCCTCGGAAGGTGAGTACAGAACACAGTGCAGCACTAAATCCCACATTTTACACTGATTAACCATAACATTAATATCTAAAGGACGGCGAGTGTACTATGCCTGCATTACGGGGTCGCCGTCCTTAAGGGGTTAATGTTATGGTTAATCAGTGCATATAACAAATATACTGGCACATTAGATACATTCTTCTGTTAGGTGTGCGTTACAATCTTATCTTATGTGTGATATTTATGCTGTACTATTTATTCTGTTTTCTGATGATATTTCCAAATAAAAGGCTAAATTCTTAAGAGCTGGTAGAACACTCTTACACTTGAATTGGCCCCTGTTCAACCAGGAATAACAATACATCTCACCATGTGAAGACCTAAGAAAGATAGGGGTACAAGGCCTGTGATCGATACTGTGATCGATAGTTTTGATCTCTCTTTTATAGATTTAACCCCTCTGTTTCTGTGCGTCAAACTTCTCTGGTTACAATTACATGTTTGTTAGTCCACCCACTTGTAAAGCACTACGTAATTTGTTAGCGCTATAAAAATATAAATATGATATAATAATAATAATATCAGGCGTCTCTTTTACAAAATATTCATCTTGTGTTGCTGTATCTCCTATCCTGTTTGATGGCAAAAAAGCATATTACAAATGAGTGTGTGGTCACCTTTGTGGACTCCTTTTTTATAGGTTCATCATAATGAAATTCCCTGTGTCTTTGTTTTTAATTTATTGAATTGAATCAGACCTTGATACTTACTAGATAAAATATCAAGCAGATGTTGCATTTCAGCTTTTAAATATTACATCTTGCAATCAGGTGTCTTGATGTAAACATGAAATATGTCCTTACTAAATCAAATTCATAATGTTAAAGTGATCACATTTGTACTTTAATATAATGCAAACACTTAAAGTATATGCATCAGTTTTCAGTTATTTATTATGCTTTCTTATTTATTATGCTTGTGAATAACTACTTGATCATCTGGTTTTAAAGCAAAAGTATATTTCAAACAAAAAGTAATTTTATGGTTTGACAAAAAAAAAATCTCATTCATGGGAGTTTCACATAAGTATTAAACAAGAATACTTTATTTTTTAAATTTGTACAGGGTGAGAAAATTTGTTTCGGCCAAGCCATTTAAAAAAAGGACGGCCAAATTTTAGCCACACGGTTTGGCTTGGCAGCATTACGGTAATGAAAAACTGATTTGGGAAACAAATCAGACAAACCAAAAGGAAGCAAAAATGGGCCAATTAGTAAACTGCAAAATATATACATAATATTTATTTATGTAGGGCGTGTTTTTCTGCCATTTGCTTCACGGATCAAGAGAAAAAAAAGTAACTGATAGAGGAAAAACAGCAGGAGCAACAAACATTTAAATGTATATATTATATATTTATTAAATATATTTAAATACTGCTCCTCTTGTTTTCCCTTTATTGGTCACTTCATATGTGATCTGTAAATATAATCAACTTTAGGTGACTGTCCCATGCCCATCAATCATCTTTTTTCCCATCAATCATCTCCTTGGCATCATGGAAGTCAGAATCACGGCTCAAAATTAACGTGCTCAGCTATTAGGTGACCAAAACAACAACCAATATTGTTTGGTTCGTGATATGGCTACATTACAGATCGGAGTTCAGGAATTCTACTAATCACCCGATCAGCCAAAAATGTTATAAACTGCAGTTGGGAATGGAACAAATCTCCAAGTCTATTGTTTTGTTTTATTGAGAAGGGAGTGGTCTTTAATCTGGTCATATATGTTTAAATCCATGTTTTGCAGTTTCTTCTGATGGGAGCAGAAGTACAATTTTTAAATAATTAATTATTTAAATATGGGCACAGAGGAGAAATCATTTTAGTGCCAAAACAAAAAGTAAAGAGAATTTTTGTTGTTAAATTCTTATACATTTAATTTATTTCCTAATATGAAACTTTAATAAAAAGCATTAAAGGTAGTAGGTGGCTAAATATAGGACTTTCCATTATAAAATTCCGTCCACATAAACAAATAAATAAATTATTTACAGTCTTTGGCAACAAAATTTAGACTTTTTTTTTTTTTACTTCAACAAAATTAAAATTAGTGTAAAAAAAAAACATAATAAATAATTTACATTGGAAAATATTATAGTACAGTCTGGTAATATTAACAACTTCTGTCCCACTTTTAATTTTGTGGAACAAATTCACAAATAGACTACGCATCAATTACATTGCATACATTTAATGAAGTAATGGAGTACGCTGTATGGAAAGACACTGCAAACAAATTATTAAAAACAAAAAAAATGCATTTTGTTTAACAAGACAATTATATGAATGTGCAAAAAAGAACACAGCAGTTTCATTTATCATAGAAAGCATTTAAATGAAAAATAACTAAAACACTTGAAATTAGAATTATTTTGGGCTAGTGATCAAATATAAAATAATTCCCTTCTTAAGTCATATCTGTACATTAAAGAAACTTAGCAACTGAGAACAAAAACTCAAAAAAAAAAATCTAGAAACAAAATGGTAGATTGTTGCAATTGAATTATTTATTTCTGTCTAAAACAATCTCCTGTATTCCACCAGCAATGAAAAGTCCTATTTACATCTTTATTATATAACTACAAAATGGCTATGATCAAGCAATACAAAATACAGAATGGCAGTCAATGTACCAAACTTACATCAGCAGATGAAGGTCAATCATTTTTGAATGGATTGAATTTTTGCAAGAGCGTCTTATACTTCTTTTTCTCCAGTCAAACATTTTCACAATAAATTTAGTATGTAGTTGTAATGTAAATTAAAAGGGATTCATTCTTAAAGATTGAATTGGGATGAGCTGAAAGATAAACTAAGTGGCAATTAGTCCAGCAATACTAATTTGGCCTACTTTTGGTTTTTGTATTCAATTAATCAAATTTCTGTCTTTAGAGAATAATAATAAAGTAAACTCATTTAGGTTATTCAATGTACAAAATTAATTTGTGTTGTTTAGTAGATTTCTTCAAACCATACAGCCACTAATGCAGCACTTATTATTTTTTTTGTTATTATATTAAAAAATATGTTTTCTTGGAGAGAAAAAATAATTGCATCACCACTCTCCAGCTTGTATTTTATACAAAAAGAATACATAATGTACTTCCTATATTAACTAGGATCCTCTGCTGTTCATAGATAAAAATATGTACATTATAAATTTATAAAGTGCCATTTCCTTACTTTTTCCCATACCCTGCAATGCTAAGTATATTAAGTGAAATAACTTACCATATTGAATAATTTAACTTAAAATCATTACACATAATACTGTGTACAATTTACCAGGTATGATTTACATTTTGTTCCTTCCTAAACTGAGAGCGTTCGGGGATGCCCTCACCTACACCAGGTGGTAGGTAACCTTGGGCACTCCAGATATCGTGGACAACATCTATCCTGATGTTAAATACCAGCATTAAGGCTGTGAGAGCATTATGGGATATGTAGTCCACAGCATCTGGAGTGCGTACACCTTCCCGAGTACAAAGGAAAAGAAAAAAGCATGTTGGGTTACAGCAAACATAACTATTGTTTATTTATAAGCAAAGTGCAAAATTATGATATATTTTTTTTTAGTGGTGAAAGGTAATGGAAATATATGAATTGGATCAAATTCAATGGAAAATATATCAATTTCTTCCGCTGCAATATCTGGCTATGAAAGGAATAACTAAATAGTTTTGTAGGGCACTAGGAATTATGAGTTACTTAATTTCTTCACTACCCGGTTATTTGTATTAAAATGAGTATAAACTGTCTTTTCATACAGAGTTTTTACTTATACACAATTTAATTGTGTTTCATGTTTTGAGGTAAACTTAGAATTATGCATTTTCACAAAATTTCAATATTCTATATATTTTTTAATATTATTATTGATTCATTATTGAACTATTGGGGAGACTTTACAAGGTTATATCACAAGTTCTTTTCTTTATATTACACTATTAGCATAGAGGCAGATTTACTATTTTTGTTGTATACTATAGGTGTGACAAATATAGACAATACAATGATGTAATATAGCCTTATTTGTATTTATAAGAAACTATATGGCATTTCTAGGAACGCAACTGCCAACAAATGCCGGTAGTTCACAGGACACTGGAAGCTTCTGTTGCAGTCTACAAAGAATATCTGTATTATACTTGTGTGTTCAGACCACGCACTCAACCTATCCCTCTCCTAGATGTAAAAACTATGCTATTAAATGTTATGTGTAAAAATTGCTGTGAAGTATTTGAAAGTCGCTTTGCAGTGGTGCAGAAATGAGCCCTGGTAGGGTGAAAACCAATCTGGAGCAGATGAAATTGTAAGTGTAGCTTAATAGGTTACGGGTTTTATAGAAATGAAAGTTAGATAATGTTAGCCTATTGTTAGAAGTGAATTATTAAGTAAGTATATTAAAGGAGTAGTCCAAGCACCATAACCATAACTGCTATAGCGAGCTGTAGTGGTTATAGTGTCAGAAGTACCTTGGCACCCTCCAATTGTAAGAAATCAAACAGTTTCGTAATGGTTTGACTTCCTCTTTAAGTCCTCCGAGAACTTTCTTCACTGAGCTAAGCACAGTGGTACAAAGCTTACTTCTTTGGCTGAGAGCAGTCAGCTGATGGTATCAGCCAATTAGCTGGCACTGCACCTTACATCTGGTGACTGAGAGCCAGGGAGTGGCAGCTTCCAAACCATTAGTCATGCCATTGCCAAACAGTTTGACTACTAACATGGAGTGCGCCAGGACACTCCTGGCAATATAACCACTACAGCACAATGTAGTAGTTACATGGCATGGACTGTGTTCTCTTTAAGTAATATTTATTTGTGACATTTTTCTTCTTCTACATACATGCAGCTTTAAATTTGTTCTTCTAGATTTGCTGTTGTGGCGGTAATATAGACATCCAGGTCTGGATTCTCTTAGCAGAATAAGAGATTACTGTGCTTATTGAATAAAGCATTACTCTGATCAGAAAAATCAGAGCCCAGTTTTGTTGAATTCTCTCAAAGTGAAAATTAAGAGACTAAGTAGCCTTATACAGTATATGTTTTCATTGAAAGGTTGGCAAATAAATGAATTACATCAATGTATATGAGAAACATTGTATTTATGGGGCAGGCTATATATCTATTGAATATAGACATTTATGTAATAGGGTAATTCAGTGTTTTAAATATGAATTTTGACTGCGAGGTAGAGCATAAGTCATGTATCTGAGTGGTTTTTATGTTGTATGTGATTAGGTGGCATTTTTCAAATGTATTATATTTTTCTTTATATCTATTTTGAAATAAACAAATTTTATAGTCATTCTTTATATCAACATGGAATGCTATCTTAATTTGGGGAAAGTGTTTCAGCTTTACAGCCATACATATATACAGGTGCATATTCATGTTCATCCACACACAATTTCTTTATTTTCCTCACTTCTATATAACAAACACAAAAACCTACTGTACAATTACCAGCGTATATGGTACATCCTTTGTGCCATGAAATGGCGTAAATCGTTGTTTTTTTTTTTTACCATCGACCATTTCTAAAACTTCATACTTTTAACCACTAACCAGAAATTGCATTCTGTATATACCACAAATGTATAAGCTTTGATGCACTTATTAAGGCACTCGAGTCAGTGTAGTGCATTGGCGTTCAAAGTCACTTGCCAGACTTCACAAACAGTGCAAAGACAGATGATCACTTCAAATGAAGGTTGATACATACTAAACATTAATGATCAAATGAACTAATTGTGATACCTCGATGGTGAAGTCAGAGAAGAATCTTTGAAAACTTACAACCTTGCATTCTAGTTAGTCCTGTGTGTAAAGTTGATTATAAAGCATTTTCTGCCAACTAGCGGTCTTTTAACTATCATTTTATACACATTTAGTCTGATCAAATTTTAGTTGCACAAACATTATTTCTGTCTTGTATGTACTTTCTCTTAATAAAGTTTATTACCCCATTTTGATCTTTACATAAGAGGTAATTCCTGTGGGGCTGGTTGGTCTTCCTAGGTTGGAGCTAACATCCTCATCAGTTCTTTTTCATTATTCGATGTTAAGGGTTATGCCCTATCGTACCTCTGTACCCCCTTTCAAACTTTTAGGACAGGTTTTCCCTATCCTTTGGTAGTTTCTTTTTTCTAACATTTTCTGCCAACAACCACCTGCAAACTAGAAGCGAAAAGACTAAACTATAGAAAGCAAAGAGCTTTTATTTAAGGCACAAAATGGATGGGCACATATCCTGCAAATTTAAATACTAAGCACCTACTGTTATATCTTCATTCATGTCAAACAGGACATTCCTTTTAACACATCTTTATGTTGTACACCTGGAGTCAAATAATTAATAAAAACCCATTCACAGAATCCTCCATAAAATATGGAATTTTGCTGTAATGGTTTTGTTGTGTTCATACAAATTATGATTTCCTTAAGTAGACATGACTGCCACTGTCAAAAACACAATTTCAAACACTCAATACACTTTTTCCCCCTTCATTTTGCTTTATGACATGTGAAAGGATTAAACTTTAGTAAACAAATAAAACGTTGTCAGAAAATTTCTTAGTCACCATTATATAAATAATTGTGGACTGACAATTTTAAACCAAGGGAAAAGTAAAATGGACAATATATTTTTAAAATAGATCCTGCAAACCTCTGTTAAAATATTTGACAATGTGTATGTAGAAAATTATATAAAAATGAGGTTGTTAGTTAGAGGAAGACACTGTAAGAATACACCAACACTTGTTCATGTACAAAAACATGTCCAGGAATGATATACTATTTCTGCATCTCATATTATTAGATTATTTGGTATTACTTAGTACTGTATCACAGAGAATGCTTTAAAAATCAGCCATCTCTATATTATTAATTTAACAATTTAAGATGTCTTTTTTCCCCTTTTCTTTGGTGTCTACAATTCAGCCACCTTCTATTTTCTTCTCAGATGGTACGAGGCACAACCCTCCCTGTTGCCAAGAGGTAAATTAAATTACTTTTGGTGTATCCAGAGAGTGCCAAGGTGTCTTGGGCGCAGAGGATGTATGGTACAATATCTTCTATATAATATTGGTCTTAGAAATCTGAAAATAAATACATAAAATAAAAGTATATTAACAAGAAGCATGCAGTTGAGTTTCTAAACATTTTGATATTGTTGCAAGGCTATGAAAATAGTTTAGGATGCTACATCATTCTAATGTTAATAATAATGGTAATCTAATAACTATTGTCTACATGTTCTGCAGTGTTGTAAAATGGGCATAATTTACAGGTTTTAGATTTGTTTTTAGGTGCAGAATTTGCAAAAATGAATTATCTCCATGGATCGACAAAAAGCAGCGCTAAGAGAAATGAAATATATATACAATTGTGGTTGGGGAGAAAGGCTGGAGGTATTCAATCAGGTTTGGGCTATACCAGTAAGAGCAAATCGGTTATGGTGTGGAGAAACCCTCGAACAGGTAGGTGTGAAAAAGGGGACTGACCTACTGAAAGAGTAGTATAGGCAGATGTTGGTAGGCTTCCACTCGTCGAAAGTACGTCAAGAGGTAGCTGGGAGAGAGGTAGATTTAGGTCGGGCAAAACCCCTCCTACAGTTCCAGGCATACTGCCTTTACATTTACATTGAATCAGTATATTAAATACCAATTTGATGAGTATGTATCCTCTTTAAAAGAGGAAGCCAAATAACCAAACACCAATTTGATGAGCTTGTGACTGTGAATGAGGAAGCTCAATTGTGATAGAGGATGCTCAGTAACAAATACCAATTTGATGAGCACATGTCCTTTGCCATAGAGGAAGGTCAGTCACAAAACAATGTCATGACTGTGTGAACTCTATGAAAGAGGAAGCTCAGTACCAAGTACTAGTTTGTGAAAAAGGAATGAGCATGTAACCTCTGCAAAAGAGGAAACTCCGTAACAAATCTCAATTTAACGAGCGCATGTCCTCTGCGAAGAGGAAGCTCAGTAACCCAATACCAATTTAATGAGCGCATGACCTCTGCAAAAGAGAAAGCTCAGTAACAAATATATATATATAAAGAGCTGTTACCCCTGAAAAAGAGAATGCTTAGTAATAAATACCAATATGAGGAGTAAGACCTATGCAAAAGAGGAAGCTTTGTAACAAATACCATTAAAGAAAGAGAAAGTCTAAGATAACTGTCTCCTGAGTGGGGAGTAACCCCTAGTGAAATAAATTCACTAAAAATTAACAACACTAGACCAAAAATCAGGGGAAATAGGAGTATAATAAAATATCCTAGGGATGGAGAAGAAAGAGAACGAAAGTTTTAAACGGTGGAAATCCACCCCAAAATTGTGAGCTTATAAAACTTAACTTTTAATAGATGTATAAAGTAAAAAAAAACGGGTGGAAACCACGTAACAACCCGAATCTATGTGCAATATAAACAGATAAAAACAACTATCAGACCTCCATAAGGATAACAAGAATTTGGAGTGGAAGGGATTACAGCCTAAACAGTACATGGTAGCCAAATTAAAAAACCCACTCCAAGATGGGAATCGATACCTACTGTATCGAAAGATATAACAATGTTATACAAATGTGGTGGGCCTCGGAAGTGAAGAGGAGAGGGGGTCCTCCACCATAAGGACACAGAGTCCTGCCGATAAAGTAAGTATAGGCTGGTTTAACAGATATACTTAGGGGTGAAGCATTTGACATTTGATAAGCTTGTGCTCTGTGATAGAGAGCTCAGTAATCAAATACCAAAAACTAATAAGTGCATGACCTTTGAAAAAGAGGATGACCAGTAATGTAAACAAGCGTGATGAGCATGTGTCCTATGTGATAGAGGGAGCTGGGTAACCAAATACTAAATTGGTGAGCATGTGACCTTTGTAAAAAAGGAACCTCATCATGAAGAATAGTTTGATGAGGGCAACCTCATGTCTTTCAATATAAAACTTGAAAAGTCAGCAACAATTACAAACAATAGGTAGATTCATAAAAACACGCTCAGTATAAATTACAGTTAGGGATGCAGCACAGTAATAATAATTGGAAAAACTGTCTGGTAATTAACCGATGATTAACAATTGATATATAAATGTCTAATGACAGGTAGGCCAAACAAGACATTAACATTAAAGTAATAAAAATGCAGTCAAATGTAGCCCAAATGTACTGAACTAAATTGAAAATGTTGCGTGTCCGAATGTAGGCCAAATGTACTGAACCAATAGCGTTTCTGAAAGTAGGCCAAATGGAATGAAACTAATTAAAAATTGTAATGGGAATATGAAGCAAGGTCAAATATAGGTGACATAGGTGACATGTGACATAGATGAATACTGAAACCAAAGAAAACATGTAGCATTAACGAAATTATGCCTAATGTACGGAACCAAACTGAAAATGCAGAATAGCTGAATGTAGGTCGAATGTACTGAAACCAAAGTGAATCTAAAGAGGTCAAAAGTAGGCCAAAAGTACTGAACAAAAATTAATGTGTTACATAACTGAATGTAAGCTGAATGTACTGAAGCCAAAGTGAATGTGTAGCAAGGAGGACGTATGCCATAAGTACTAAACCAAAGTTATGAAGCACAACCGAACATAGGCCGAATGTACTAAACCAAAGGGAATATGTAGCGCATCAGAACGTAGGCTGAATGTATTGAACCAAAGTGAATATGTAGCATGGCCACATGTAATGTCAAAGAGAAGTGAACTAGAGGAGGTTGACCACGAGCCAGGCTTCCTATTACGTACTTAAATACATAAAGAGAATCAACACAATATAGGAGAATATATTTAAAAGAAGAAAAACTACCACAACAAGAGAACACCGTCTTAAATTAGAGGGGCAAAGGGTTAAAAATTGTTTCCGGAAGTATTACTTTACAGAGAGGGTAGTAGATGCATGGAATAGCCTTCCAGTTGAAGTGGTAGAGATTAATGCGAGGGCGTTTAAGGCTATCCTAGACTTAAGATAAGGCCAGAGACTAATGAAAGTATTTAGAAAATTGGGCAGACTAGATGGGCCAAACGGTTCTTATCTGATGTCACATTCTAGGTTTCTATGTAAACAAGCAACCAGGTTCCACTTGTCGTCTGAACGTCAGGACGTAGCTGGGGCATGCTACCTTTACACACACACATACATATTTATATATATATATATATATATATATATATATATATAAATGTCAAATCAAGTCTGTACCCTGACTGGTTGATTGATTTTCATACAGTCAGAATGAGGCTAGGATTTAAACTATGTTTTGTCACCAGATAAGGCCACACGTAGAAATAAAATAATGGCAACTTCACATTGCTCTTAAATTTAGTATCCTTGGGCTATTTAAACATCTGGAAATGAACCCTTTCATTTAAATTGAAAACTGTCATCATTGCTTTATAATTTTTTTAAAAATGATGTGTTAAACAGTGTCTGTGTGAAGACTCATTAATGTACAGAGATGCAGTAATTTACCATTAATGTTGATTGGGATAACAGAATTTCTGCAGATGTTTAGTGTCAAAATCCCACAGAGACTTTAGACAGTTATATTATTCTGTTGGATGCAGACGGAAAGATGACGTAATGCACAGTACAAACATATGGAATTATTAATGAATGTGTTTAGAAAGCAGGCATGCGTCCACCAATATGATGAGAAACAAGTGTAACACTTTAGCCAGAACTCTTTCCATGACAAATATAAATTTGTACTTTTATCTGCTTACTTTGTGTATGTATATACAGTATATAAATCCAGCATGGACTCGGCACTCACACTCCCCAAAAGGTATTTTCTATTTACAAAGTATTTTATACTAATTAACTCCATAATGAATTAAACAGGAATTTAGGTAGACTATTGTTTCCCTTTTACATTATTGCACAATTGTTCAGATAATAAACTTACTATGGTTTAATTTCTACCAGAAAATGTGAAAATACTCTGTATTTAAAGTGGCACATAAGTTGCAAAGACCCCTGATGGTGACATTGTTGCTGGGAGTCCGGTGGCAGGGGAGGAGGGGAGGACGAGGGCAGCATGCAAAGAATAGTCCAACTAACCTAAACCTATCCCTCAAGAGTGCCACCATTATCATCCAACCGGTCCTCTTCTGCTCCTGGTGCATCCTCGATAAACTGAAACAATTCCTGCAGCTGTCACTGGTGACGGTTGGGGGCTCGACACTTCTAGACGACGGTAGTTCCTCCCAGTGTCTAGAAGTGTCAGGTGTAGAAAAGCTACTAAGACAAAGTAGTCCCTATTTTGTCTCAGTATATCTTTTGATTGTGTTGGAATTTCAGTGAAATTTCAACACAGTTAGTATGAGTATTATGAAAAACTCATTTTGCTGAAGTAACAGTGCCGCTTTAATAAATTAATGAAAATAAAATGGTAAAATTTTAAATGTACAGTAATCAGTTTACAGCATTACTCTATATTTAACAATTTGAACGAGATTTACTTAATTTTTACTTTGACAAATTAGGGCCTGTGTGGGCCTTCATTATTCATATATATATATATATACTGACTATACTGACCTTTACATTCATACTTAAGATCAGAGAAGAAAACCATCTCTTGAGAGAATACAAAGAGTCCTAGTCGTCCACCCGCATATGTTTTGTCGTAGAGTGGGCCAGAATCTGCCATAATTTGTTTTCCTTCATACACAACTACCCTGTAAGACAAAACAGGAATTATTACAGAAAAATATACATGACTTTAAAAACTACAGTATGTCAAACAGGCTTAAGTTGCTACCAGATGATATTAGATATTAGGCCAAGCAGTAATGTGATATTGTAAATAACAAATGAAGATACTTTGCACTACCATGACAGAGAGAAGTGGGCCTTGCTCACTTTCTGAAATATATTTACTTTTCTGTGCTAATTTCATTAAAAAAATGTTTCAAGGCATACATAGGGGGCACTGTTAGAATTAAATATGATAAGGATTGCATAGTACTTTGTATATATATATATATATATATGTGTGTGTGTGTGTGTGTGTGTGTGTATATATCTATGTGAATATGTGTAAAAATGCATATATATGGGTCTATGTATATGTACATATGTAGGGATTTGTATTGGTGCCTGTGTGTGAATGTATATATAGGTGTGCATGCACATATATTTGTGCATTTGAGTGTATTTATATGTATGTGTATGTATTTATGTATTTGTGCATTTATACTCCTTCGCCTTCTAGCACCATCTTCTGCATTGTTTGCATGGTTTTATTTTCTGTCCTGTGCCTTATCTGCACTCATGTTGCTATAACCCCAGTATAACAACTCAACTTTGAATTCCATGTGTTGTTTTTTGATCAGAAATGCTTTACACTTGAGAAAGGGAGATTCTCCTGAAAGTTGTCATTCCAAAATTGTGTTAGTCTAATTAAAAAGGTATTACATGATACTAATTTCATCGGTTACTTTACATCTGCATTACTTGACTGATATGGCTACAGTCTCCACTCTATGTATGTATGTATATATATATATATATATATATATATATATATATATATATATAAATGAAACATCTGTCTTGATTACTCTTTCTTAGTACTCTTTAATACTGCTTTCATGATGATAAGGGAGGATGGATAAAGGGGAGAAAAATAGAAGACACATTTTTTGGGAGGAAGGGTGATGGAAAGATGCATTCTGGGGGGAAAAGTGTTGAACAAACATATACTTATATATTTATTTATAGAAACTAGCATATACAGCTAATGACATACCTAATAAAGCCAGTCTTAGGCCTGTGTGTCAGATGCCACCTGTAAGCAGTATAATCTTTCCATCCAACATTCTTGGGATCATGCCATAAAGTTCTTACCTACAATGACAAAAGGAAATATATAGTTATAGCTAGAATGTAATTACTATAAATTAAACTAAATATCATCATAACAGTTAAGATTGATTGATTTAATTTAAATTATACCTCTCCTGGTGTATTTCCAGTGTGCCAAAGGGCATTTCTCAAGTGCTCCCCAGTACCCGTTGTGGAGTTGACAACTTTTAGAGACACACCAGAATATCCATAAGCTCTAGAAGGTTTATCTTCCCAATATGTCTGGGTGGTCTGTTTCCACATCAGTACATAAAATCTGCTGCTTGACTGATAGCCAAAAACGAATCCTGCATAATCGTCATCTCGATCAGTGTTCACATAGAATGTGCCGCTGAAATCAACTGCGCTAAATTCGTCAAAGCCTGATCAGAAACAATTTAAATAAGTTTACTGTTATGGTATTTTAAAACATTAACTTGAACAAACTAAAAGAAAAGAACAATGAGGGGTGTGGAAAAGGAATATATTCTTAAAGATTATCCACCTCAGAAAGACTACTAGGACCTAAATATTTGCTAAATACATTACCAAGTAAAACTTAACTTTTATTACTATAAATAAAAACTAAATAAATATATACAAGCAAAAAAAATTAAAAATCTTCTTAATATTGAAACAGAGAAACAGAAACAGAGCAGTAATCAAGTGAAGGAAAGTTTCAATTTATTAATTAGCAAAAGTAGCAACAGGGTAGTATACACGCTACAGATTGGAGCTCACAGTCTGGCCTAACACTCTGACAGCTGCAAACCAACGATCTAGGTAAACTAAACTAATTTGGTACTATACCTATATGAGGGAAGTGGGAAAATACCTATACTGGCCGCTTGTGCCTCTGCAATGCTGATATAAATTATTAGAGAGTTCTCTGCATATAACCCTTCAAACATCACATGCCCCAAATTTACCCCTTTATATAACCTAAACAAACTCTTTTCAAATTTAAGAACTCAAAGCTTAACCCCTTAAGGACCAAACTTCTGGAATAAAAGGGAATCATGACATGTCACACATGTCATGTGTCCTTAAGGGGTTAAACCTGAAACAAATTGTTTTACCTTAATCTTTTTAAAAATGAAACACACCATGCACCATAGTATAAAATGTAACCCCACTCTAACCCTAATTATAAATATCCCATATGAGACATATATAACCCCACTCAAGCTTTTAATTCTGTTACAACTAACCACTGAACACATCCTAGGTAATCTAACTCTGTTATTCACCCCTTTATAATCTTAACCCCCCTTTACCCTAACCACAACTAATATTATCTTTAACCCAACACACATTTAGACAGCTGCATACCCTTACAGATTCACAATACATTACAAGTAGAGATATGCTCGTACATACATAGACAGTTGCTACATTTGAATATATGTTTTTTAGATTTGTTTTATGCTTGAACTGTCCTGTTAATAAATGTATTAATAAATACATTAAACTCACTTAATCTGCAATTTGTGTTGGGGGAGGAGGGTTGAGGGTGCTTTATAATTCTGTGTCTAAAGGCACCTGGCTTGTAAATCTGGCTCTGTTAACGGATGTAAAAAATTGTGCTTTTTGAAGCCCCACAAGGATTTTTATATAAATAAACCTAATTTTAAAATTTTGAGCCAAGGCAGCTGGATAGGCAGTTGTTACTTTTCATAAGAATCACTGACAAGTATTAAGTACCAAAATAAATATCCAGTATTCTAGTTCAATTGTATATACTTGTAGAATATATAAGTTAATGGTTCTAATGAATGAACATGGCTGTTTAAAGTAATACAATAATATCAAAATTAGTAGGTGGAATTGCGTTGCATTTCACAATGCTACTAAACACAAAGTTTAACATACCGACAGCAATGCCAGGATCAGAGTTAGCAGTCTGCACTAGCTCTTTGCCTTGATGACGAATGACCCAGTTAGGATCGATCTGAGCTGTCCCTTTAGGATCCAATGGAACCATCTGGAATTTCCTGAAGTCAGTCTCACTAATTCCACTGTTCTCTGGACAAACGTCATAGATATCAGGTATGCTGTCATTATCAAAATCATCTTTGCAGGCATCACCTCGGCCATCGCCTAAAAAATAAAAAATAAAATAAATGTTTTTAGTAAAATACTTTAATTTTATATATCATGTAAGACATACATTTTAATAAATAATACATTTTAATAAATTGCTGCTTGCATACAGACAAGTTAACTAATGAGGTTTTCCAGCCACTGGTCTGGTGCATCTGTCAGTATGCTATTGAAAACACAAACTGCGGCATGCTTCTCACAGTGATTTATTGTATGTGACAGTTGTAGTCAAATAAACCATAAGAGAGTAGTATTAATCTATGGGCCCTGCATCCCATAATCCTGGCTGGGATTACTTGGTAAAGTCAGATATTCCTGATTCATTATATTTTGGCAAAGTATGTTATTTAACTTTGACCACTATAGGCCTTTTATCCTTGACAAGGCTGCCGGTAGCAACATTCCATGATGGAAATTTAATATTAAACACATTCCCTTGTGGCTTCTCTATCAGGAAAATATACAGTAAATCAAAAATTAAGCTTAGGGCCATATGCGTTTTGAAGTGAAAATTGAGTATCTTTCTTTAAGTGAACAGTCAATGAACAAAAATGCAAAGAAAAAAGGAATGTAACAGTGAAACTAAAAATTGACACACTCTTCGCACACTATTTATTTTGCTAATCCACATTAAGTTCTGAAATGCATGAAGGCAGAACTATTTCTCAAGATATCTTTACTTAAAGGGTTACTCAACATTGTTTTAAGGTTGGAGAAACCCTTCCAACTCACCCACAACCCCCATACTGAAAAAAATACATGTTAAAAGTCACCCAGCTCTAAGCCAAGTTCTCCCTCTGCTGGCTGAAGGGTAAAGAGGGGCAGTTTGGAATGGGAATGAGTGACATTATTGGCTTTCTAATGCTAGCATCAGATGCCAATTTTTTTTACAGACTTGATATTAGCCAGCCCGGAACTCTTGTAAGTGGCCTTGAGTGACATTTGTTTTGAATAATCTCTTGCTTAAAAAACAACAAATAGTTTCATGAAAAATTGAAAAGTGCTAAAAAAGTGTGTGACGTATTAAACATTTGCCAGTCTGACCCTTACATTTAGAAAAATGATGAAAAGGTAGATGCATGCTTGCTGTAATAAATACAATTTGTAAGTAGAGTTTTATACCTTTTTATTTTAGAGTAATTAAAAAAAGATTATGGAAAGTTCCCAACTGCAACTTAGTCTAGGAGAATCTCATGCTATCTGTAACGTGTTCTAAGAAAAATGACCGCCAGAGGGAAATTTGCAAAACACATGTGAAAAAAACTTTAGATGGAAGTTGTGCAACCTCTCTACACCTTTAGCCTATTTGTCATGCTCCAGCTGATCCTGATAACATGAAACTCTCAAAGTTGCAATGCTTAACCCCTTAATGCTTAACCCCTTATGTCACGATTCCCTTTTATTCCAGACATTTGGTCCTTAAGGGATTTAAAGCATTCAGCCTTTTACAAAGCTAAATAATTCTTGGTATGCAGGACAGCTCCATTTTGCATCTTCAGCTAAATAAATATAGAGTTGAAAAACAAATAAGAAAGTTATCAATCCTGAAAATTGATAATCTGATAGCAGTAACAGTAATGAACTCTTTCTATACTGATTACTTTATACACCAAAAAAAAAAGTCCCAATAAAGTCATGTGTCATAATATGTAATTTATACAATTTATTTCAACATGTAATAGATAGTTAACCTCTCATCTTTGTTATTTAAATGTTGTCAGGTATCCCTATTCCACAATGTAAAGAACAGTAGAAAATATTGTTCCTACTATAAATGATAGCAATAATAATAATAATATTTTGACTTTCAAAAGACTGGTACATTGTATAATGGTATATCTGTTTAACCCACAATATAGCAAAAATAATTGTATAATATTGTCTTACCATTAGAGTCCTTTTGATCAGGATTGTGAACCAGCCTACAATTGTCTCTGTCATCTGGAACACCATCATTATCATCATCTGAATCACAAGCATCACCTCTACCATCCTTATCATGATCTGCCTGGTTTGCATTGGGAATATAGGGACAGTTGTCCAAGTTGTTCTGGTATCCATCTTCATCAATGTCTTCGTTATTGTCACACTGGTCTCCCACAAGGTCATTATCCACATCAGCCTAAAAGTAAACGCAGACACGAATTTAGGGAGGACCAAAATGCAGCTGTGTACACAACATACATATGGTACAAAATACCACAGTCACCTGGAAAAGTTAAATTCAAGAGAAAGTTTTACTGGGGATACTATATAACTAAAAATAACCATAAAAGAGAACTGACAATGCACTCAACTATCAGTAATAACAGTTATTGAACTGGCATGCTATAAATAATGCTATAATAACAGTTACGTTTAAATGATAGCAAACATAAATAATGAATTGTGCTTATTGAAAAATCCATAAAATGTCATTCTAATTAATTAAAAGAAGCTATAAGCCTATTAAACAGAGGATCCTGGTGACCTCTTCTTTTATCTATTAATATTTTACCTCCAAACAACATGGGATTGGGAAAGATGTCAAGGCAGTCTGTAGATACCACTCTTTTATCCAAGAGTAATTGGATTGGAGAGCAGTACACCATTCGGGGAACCTCTTATTTTATAAGCCCTAAAACAGTATTACTGCTTCCTAGTATTGGCCTTAATTTAATAAGCTTTCCAACCTCAACTAACCTATAGACCTCATCAGTGGAATCAGAGGGTCCAACTCCCCTGGCAGGGACGTTAATAAGCTGGAATCCTGATGACTCAATACCTAGACAGAACTTCCAAGTGATTTATCTACAGTAGTCACATTAACGTCTATGGTAACTTACTTGCTAAGTAATTTAGAAAGTTTTCCCAGCAGTATTGAATCACCTGAAAAGTTTAATAAATTGAGCCCATAGTTGACATTTCCATAATTTTCTGTTCATACTTTTGAGGTTTGGTTTATTTTTCTTTGAAGCAGTTATATATATACACTACTCTAGTTACTATGAAGCCCCTTATGTTTCTGTTACTGTAATCAGCTACTGAAATTCGTAATGTCAGATAAATTTCAGGTGAAGAATGCTTGTACTATTTAACACAAGGCATTGTGTAACCGATATTTATATATATATATCTATAATATATATATATATATATATATATATATATATATATATATATATATACAGAGAGAGATTGCATCTTTTAAATTTTCAAATAAGTGCATATGCAAGCACAGAACAGCATATATTTATTTATATTTTTTTTCTCCAAATTTAATTACAGCTCTAAATTCTTCAAGCTTTCTAACTATATTTACATGGCCCTAATTATTCAGAATGTCAGAACATTGGTGTATAATGGAAACCAACATTACTTCCACTAACTGACTATAAGAGATTGTAATATCCACATGCACAATAGGTATTTGTAATTTACACAAGGCTGAGTTTGTATGTGAGGCATTCTTAAAAAGAAATTTGAGGCTCTGAATTTCACATTGAACTGTCTTGCCCAAACAAAGCCCTTGGGCTGTGAATGACTGCCATTGACTTTCCCTATTCAGCTTGAAGGCACACACGCATTCTGCATTCCAAAGCTAATGTCTGGGTTAAACCATAAACCAAATTATCTTTCATTGCATTCAGACCTGGAGACTGTCAAACACTTAATTAGCCTGTTATGCTGTTTACAAGGAACTCCATGGCAATTTTAAGGCAGATATTTAGCAACTCCTTGCGATTACTGAAATATAATGTTTATGCAAACATTCTTTTTTCTTACAAACTCAGTATTCATAGCATACTTTACCTGGTCTGTATTGTGCATTAGTGGACAGTTATCACATTGATCACCAACTCCATCTTTATCTGTATCAATCTGGTCTGTATTATATACATATGGGCAATTATCCAACTCATTTAATATGTCTAAAAGAGAGGTAAAAAAGGACAATCTATTTTATTATTTTGTGGGGATATTAACCCCATACACTACCAAGTACTTGTCATTTTAAAAAATAGCATTACATTCATCTGAAATATACAATACTTATAAACTTTTAAAATACAACAATGTGTCCCTGTTAAAGGGACACTCTGAGTATTAAACAACATTATCCTTGATAATCTAAGCCAACGATCTCAGAGCATCACATCCTAATTTAATTAACACATTATTCACTAAACATTTGTCCAGATGCATAAAACCCAGTAAAAAAGACCGGATGCAGACCACAATGGCAATTCTTATATTTACTAAAACCAAATACAATCGTTTGCTGGACCGCCTCTTCACTATACAGTACACAATTCATCTACTACACAAAACACACTGCATTCACTACACAAACATCCTCTGTATCCACTATACACACTACATCCACAACACACCCTGCATTCAATACACAAAAACACACTGTATCCACTACACACACTATCTGCATTCATTATACACCCTGCATCCGCTACACACAGACACACACTGCATCAACTACACAAACTGCATTCACCACACACACTAGATTCACTACACACCCTGCATCCACTACCTGCATCCATTATACACCCGGCATCCACTACACTCAGACACACACTGCATCCATTACACTAGTACGTGCTTATCCACTACAGTATATAAACACACATCATTCAACACACACACTCTATATTCACTACACCCTCCCTGCATCCACTACACACACCATCACAATGCACACAATGCAACCACTACAAACACCATCCCACACATTGCATACACTATATATACACACTACATCCACTACACACACACTGCATTCATTACAGATCCTCACATATGGCCTCCACAAAACACACCCTCACACAGACTGCATCCACTATACACACGCACTCTCTGCATCCACTATATATACACACTGCTTCCACTACAAACACTCTGCGTCTACTACACAAACATATTCTGCATCCTGTATACACACTACATCCATTGCACAAACACACACTGCACATACAAAAACACACTATACACAAGCACTGCATCCACTGCAAACACACTCTGCATCCACTATACATCCTTTCTGCATCCACTATACACACTGTATCCACTACATGCACACACTGAATCAACTACAAACACACTATGCATCCACTTTACACACATTATGCATCTACTATGCTCAGACACATACTGCAGTCACTGCACACATACTCCACATCCATGATGCACACACTGCATTCACTACACACATACACACTCTACATCCACTACAAACACACTCTACATCCACTACAAAACACACTCTACATCCACTACAAAACACACTCTACATCCACTACAAAACACACTCTACATCCACTTTAAACACACTGCACATAATGCACTCTGCATCTACTCTACACACACGACATTCACTCTACACACACGCTGCATCCTAATGGGTGGTGGCTGGCCAGTGTTTGCTAGTCAGCCACCACATTAAATAGTTAAAAATAAATCAAAGAAAAGCCTGGGTGTCAATAAGACTCCACATTGCCATAAGGGAGGTTTAAAACTTTCCTAATGGAATTTGGATTGATAACATACCATCTCCATCAATATCCACAGCGCAGGCATCTCCTTCTCCATTGTTATCTGTGTCAATCTGTGCAGGATTATGCACGTAGGGACAGTTATCACAGCGATCACCGACTTCATCCTTGTCATAATCAAACTGGCGAGGGTTGTACAGCAGTGCACAATTATCCTGCAAAAATGCATCACATCCAAATAAACTAAAGACCCAGGGTGAATATACATATCACAATCGGCCCATTACATTTGCCACACACTACTTAAAACTTAAGGTTTAAGTACTACTTTTAGAGATATCAGTTGCTTGGGTATCCCAGGTGTACTTTGCAGTGCTTGAAGGTAAATCTGTCTCTTGGTATCTCTAGTAAGTGTCTGCATTCTTTGTTGACTTTAAGCCACAGGAGCCCATTTTAGAGCTTAGATAATGTTATAATGTGAATGTGAAATAGACTGTACTTTCAAAATTTAAAAGTATATGTTGCCTCCAGGGAAACCATTGTACTGTAAAATAGTCTTGAGAACCAATAACTAATTGCAAAACAGAACAGCAGAGTAAAAAAATTAAAAAGATTATGCATTTTTGCTATGTGTCTTGGCCAGATCTAGTCTGACTCACTGATAGAGAAACCATGTAGGAGTCAGGATGTGAACAAACAGCAATTAAATGTTTATTTTGGCACACTTTAAATATGTATATCTGTCCCTATAGAATGAAGCAATCACTTGGCAATAGTAAAACATTTACAGATCTCTTTTATGCTCAACGTGATCTCCAACAGATGAAATCGGTTTGTGCAGGAACAATTGTCACAGTATGGGTTATAACACTATAATGTGTACTGCACAATCTCATTATGTAAGATATACAGAATATATATATAAAATGCAGAAGTATTGAAGAAGTGTGTAATCATACAGGGAGTGCAGAATTATTAGGCAAATGAGTATTTTGACCACATCATCCTCTTTATGCATGTTGTCTTACTCCAAGCTGTATAGGCTCGAAAGCCTACTACCAATTAAGCATATTAGGTGATGTGCATCTCTGTAATGAGAAGGGGTGTGGTCTAATGACATCAACACCCTATATCAGGTGTGCATAATTATTAGGCAACTTCCTTTCCTTTGGCAAAATGGGTCAAAAGAAGGACTTGACAGGCTCAGAAAAGTCAAAAATAGTGAGATATCTTGCAGAGGGATGCAGCACTCTTAAAATTGCAAAGCTTCTGAAGCGTGATCATCGAACAATCAAGCGTTTCATTCAAAATAGTCAACAGGGTCGCAAGAAGCGTGTGGAAAAACCAAGGCGCAAAATAACTGCCCATGAACTGAGAAAAGTCAAGCGTGCAGCTGCCACGATGCCACTTGCCACCAGTTTGGCCATATTTCAGAGCTGCAACATCACTGGAGTGCCCAAAAGCACAAGGTGTGCAATACTCAGAGACATGGACAAGGTAAGAAAGGCTGAAAGACGACCACCACTGAACAAGACACACAAGCTGAAACGTCAAGACTGGGCCAAGAAATATCTCAAGACTGATTTTTCTAAGGTTTTATGGACTGATGAAATGAGAGTGAGTCTTGATGGGCCAGATGGATGGGCCCGTGGCTGGATTGGTAAAGGGCAGAGAGCTCCAGTCCGACTCAGACGCCAGCAAGGTGGAGGTGGAGTACTGGTTTGGGCTGGTATCATCAAAGATGAGCTTGTGGGGCCTTTTCGGGTTGAGGATGGAGTCAAGCTCAACTCCCAGTCCTACTGCCAGTTCCTGGAAGACACCTTCTTCAAGCAGTGGTACAGGAAGAAGTCTGCATCCTTCAAGAAAAACATGATTTTCATGCAGGACAATGCTCCATCACACGCGTCCAAGTACTCCACAGCGTGGCTGGCAAGAAAGGGTATAAAAGAAGAAAATCTAATGACATGGCCTCCTTGTTCACCTGATCTGAACCCCATTGAGAACCTGTGGTCCATCATCAAATGTGAGATTTACAAGGAGGGAAAACAGTACACCTCTCTGAACAGTGTCTGGGAAGCTGTGGTTGCTGCTGCACGCAATGTTGATGGTGAACAGATCAAAACACTGACAGAATCCATGGATGGCAGGCTTTTGAGTGTCCTTGCAAAGAAAGGTGGCTATATTGGTCACTGATTTGTTTTTGTTTTGTTTTTGAATGTCAGAAATGTATATTTGTGAATGTTGAGATGTTATATTGGTTTCACTGGTAATAATAAATAATTGAAATGGGTATATATTTGTTTTTTGTTAAGTTGCCTAATAATTATGCACAGTAATAGTCACCTGCACACACAGATATCCCCCTAACATAGCTATAACTAAAAACAAACTAAAAACTACTTCCAAAAAATATTCAGCTTTGATATTAATGAGTTTTTTGGGTTCATTGAGAACATGGTTGTTGTTCAATAATAAAATTAATCCTCAAAAATACAACTTGCCTAATAATTCTGCACTCCCTGTATGACTTTATCACTTGAAAAAATAAAAATAACTTTTATTTGTGCATTTTTAACATTTTGGATCCGGTCTTGAGAAAGAATTGGGATCAGGTCCAAAATGTTGATGATTTCCACTCAGCTACTCTAGGCTTAAATTTGAAATCTACATTATATTCTCACTTTAGTGAATAATCCAATTTACTAAAACATGGGCAAATATATTCAGTTTTACTGAACAAAATATATTATTTCACTGCATCCAATATTTTACCAAACAAGGTGCAGTAATAAAAGCACTGTCCACTAGTAATCATAATAATGTACATCAATATGCCTACTGAACAGGGTTAACAATATCTCATTCTTGTTTTCCTGGTAAAAGAGATATAATAATTTTTGTGAAGAACTGTGCAATCAAAATTTGGAGAAAATGATCATATTTCATTGTTAAATACTTTGAATATGCTATATATGTGCACTCACCTTTTCATCATCAACACCGTCATTATCATCGTCTTTATCACAAGCATCACCGATGCCATCTTTGTCAAAGTCCTCTTGCCCTGAGTTTGGTAGAAGAGGGCAGTTATCCTGTTGAATAAAGAAAAATAAGTAAGGAAAAAGTCTCCTAACAAAACCAAAACACAAAACAACAAAATTCACTAATGTAGATTTAAAATTCAAGTGTGCAAACAATGACAATGTACAGCTGCTCTTTTATGAGATCAATATTAAAGGAACAATAAAGCGTTAGGAATACATAACTGTATTTTTAATGCTATAGTGCCCATGTACCTTGTAAGATACAGGTCATTCCCAATTTTTCTAAATAAAATTGAGAAAAGAAAGGGATTTACTCACCTTTTTCAAGTGCCGAGACTCCCTCAGAGCAGCCCACCTCGCCACCTCCCGTGACATTATTCTTCTCTATTGGCAATAGTCCAATCCAATCTCCTCAGAGGAGCATTGGGGACCTGATGCACATGCACAGCAAGTGTTGCACACATCCATGCTTTACTCGGTCAGTGCAGCAGAAGCATCTCTAGTGACTGTAAGTATGACAGCCCCTAAAGACATTTTTAACTATTTAAGGTAAACATTGCCCTTTCTGCAAAACATACAGGACCACTGCACCCAGACCACTTCACTGAGATGAATGACTTTAATGTCCATTTAATCTCTTGTATCTTGAACTCTTATGTTCCCTTCTTCTCTCTGATTGACAGTTGGTAATGATATACAGTGCTACAGTAATATAATATCAGTCAGCAATATAAAATTTGTCAGCTGAGTTTAAAATATTTTTTTTATTGTATGGTAAAAATTTCAAAAGAAAAGAAAAGATTAGCTCATATACATCCACTATTAAGCACCACTTTTGGATTTGTGTGTGGTGCAAATTTGTCACATTCTCTGTTGTGTTTTGAGGCCTCATTGATGTTCACCTGAGAAAAATTGACACCTATATGACAAAAACAACTTGGCAGCTGCATTTTGCAGACATCAGGAGAGTTAATATTTAACTTGTTAGAGCAAACTGACCAGTACTCACCCACTTAGTATCAGTCCCAAGAGTACTCAAGCTGATGCTAACTTATTGTTAGCGACTGTCTGCACTGACAGGAGACATTTTCAAGTTTTAGTGAATAGATTCTATAGTTTAACCTCATCATGACAAAGGGTTAAACAAATCCTTTCATACCATAGTATACTTTGTATGTGAGTGATAGTTAAGAGGTTAAAATAGGCCTTCAACGTACCTTACATGTAAAATTAATGCCTTATAGGTAGAGGATGTTTTATTGGGTCTTTGCAATACATAAGGTTGCTGCTGCATCTATTAATTTGTCCTACTTTTAAATTTGTCACACTGATAAGCACCATATATTCACTTTTGTATTCCACAATTAATTAACTTACCTTACTGCAGTGGTAAGTAGCATTTGCGGCACAGATTAAGTTATTATTTGGCCATCCATCCAGATCAGAGTCTTCTCCACAGATGATACCATCACCAGCATAACCCGTTCTACATTCGCATTTGTAGGATGGTTCGGTGAAGTGACCAATGTAGATACATTCGGCATATTTGTGGCAGTTATGAGTTTTTTCTTTGCATGGGTTTACATGTTCGCATTCCTAAAATAAATAAATCACATTTATATAAATGTGAGAAATTAATGTTACCGTCAATATATGGGAGACTATAAATCTTACCTCAATATGCTAAAAAGGCAGATGTACCAAGTTGATTCTAGTCTAGTCTTCTCCTCCCTATTACCCTTAGACCTCCCACCCATGAACTGTGTTTTTGTTTTTTGTTATGACAGATGCTTTACATTTAAAATCCTACAGTCTTCCTCATGAAATGGTAGATAGCTGTCACAATGTCATCAATCTAACAGGAAGAAAGTAATATGACCCGATTTACAAATGATGACATGCATATCTTAGATGCCCCTAAGGACTGTGAAAGTGTTAGGGAGGCTTCCTCCTTACTTTGACTGACATTCTTTAATTGCATTCTAACATGGAAGTAATTACCAAATTAGTGTTTTAGACTTACTTGCTTGTCTTTTTTGGCTATTTCAAGTCCAACTCCATAAGGCTGATTACCCTTGTACCGAGGTGGACATGGAAGGCAGTGATAACCTGGTTCTGTATTCACACACCGATGAAGTCCTCCTAGCCTAAAACAGGCATCTGTTACCAATGCACACTGCAATACAAATAGATTTTATTTAATATTTTTAAGAGAACAGATTTATTAAATTTAACATGTTGCTAAAATACATTCTATGCTAACTGCTTGCAAGATTTACCTCATCCAGATCCTCACAGAATGTTCCATTACCAAGATAGCCTACAGGGCATGCTCCACAAGACCATGAGCCATCAGGGTAGCTATTACATTCTGCTCCAGGAAAGCATGGGTTGGACAAACATCCATCTAAAACATATATACAAAATAGCATAAGAATACATTTCATAATGAATAATACACATCTGCAACATCATGAACTAATATCAAATAAACAGACTAGATTTATTTTTTTAAAATTAATATATGCATTGATATATATGTAAATTGCTTTGTTATTAATAATATTATTTATAAAGCGCTAACAAATTCCGCAGCGCTTTTATGTTGCTAAAAACAAAAGCTTTAATTTTATTTATTTTATTTTTCTTTAAATCTATTGCCATTGATCTCCTCTTAGTACTATCACTATTGCATAGTAATGGCAGAAATCTTCTGGCAAAAGACAGGTAAAAAAAAAAAAATCAGCACATTTTCACCTCCTGTGCGAACTCACACGAGACATAAAAAATAACATTCCTCCAGCGGAACAAGAGTTTCCAGAAGGAGAACATTATTTCCAATGTTAAAAACAGTGAGTTGGCTGAAAGTTTATGAAAGTTCTCATGAATTTCTTTTTCTAAAAAAGAGTAAACATGAAAAATAATCTGTGATGAGAAACATAGGATACGTGTGGTTGGATGATGAAATTTAGCTATTGTAATTAACAGCCAAAGCTGTTTTATTAGTTTGTGATAAATAGTATCTGTCTTATTGAGTAGAGCGGAGGAATGACTAAATGAAAGCTTAACCAGAAAACTACCCTGCAGATATTTAAAATGGCAGAAATGTATGGGGAGGCATGGCATGGACCATAAAGGTATGGGTGTCAAAGCGTACTTTCACCTCACTAAAAAAAAATCTGATGATGATTTTAGTTATTTTGAAATGTTTGAACTCATATGTGAAAATCATGGCTCAAGAGCTACCCAAGCCTTTTTCACTCATAAGTTTTTTTCTTTGTTTGTTTTAACTAATGGGCATTTCAAGGCAGGTTTTTCCGCCTTAAAAAAAGTAAAAAGGCTTTTTAAAAACTTTACAGTGTCTGGAGAAGCTCCTGGTGCTGAGCTCCACTCCTAAATTAATGTCATCCCTGCACTCGGTGGTCCAACCACAGGGTCCTCTTGTGATTGGATCGATTTGCTCAGAGCGCATACTCTGCTCTGAACAGGCAAAGGAAAGGAAGAAGTGTTCAGGCAGAAAGGGATAGTCAAAAAAATAATAATTGAGCTCACTGTGAGGCGGGTGAGCTTAATGCATGGAGGGAGGGATGGAGAGATGGAGGGGACAGAAGCTAACTGATGACGAACTTATCTTATGCACAGAACTGACATTTGACAGTCCATAACAGAGATCCTAGCTGCCAAAGTTACATATATTAGGGGTGTAACTAGCCCTCCAGCACAAAGGTGCAAATAAATCCGTTTGTGCTGCATTTTTAATTCTCATTTGTGCATATGCAGATCATTAATTCAATTGCATCTATATTTCAACTGCACAGACGTGCTAAGCAGCCAGTCAGAAAATAAGTATACACTTGTTATATTTTTGTTTTGCTTTAGTCCCTCCTTGTAGTCTGCATGATTTTATGCTGCAGTAAAAAGTGCTGTATATTTTACGAAGGTATATGGTTTTATCTCAGCGTGCTGTTGCAGTATGCTCATGTGAAACTAATTTCTATTTGTATGTACTTTATGTCTGTGTAAAGATTTTATATATTGAAACAACGCCTTAATTAACAGAGGATTAATATCTGTTCTGCCAAAATGCAGAAGAGTAAACAAACTAATAAAATCAAAGGATAGTATTGTATTTCTCAATAAATATTTTACACTGTCTATGTAATCTAGTGTATCCTATGAGTGAAAAAGGAGATAAAATCAGTGATATATTTATCACCAGTAATATAATATTTTAGTAATAAAGCATATTTAATAACATTTTAACCATGAAATAAAGGTTCCTTATTTAGCTACAACTACCCAAGGCAATTATTCTTCACAATGTCTCATATTAATGCACAATGAGTCATAGGTAACCGGATCTTGTTTTTCCTGGAGTCCTACATGATCATAAAATAATTTATCTGACATGCTAGTTCACTTAAATATTGCTGTGTTGAGCACTGTAAGGTGATTTCTGTGATGACATTGTTTTATTTTAGCTTATAGTATAGAAAATAAAATTTGTAATAATTATGATTTGACTTATGTATGTCAGGATAGTCTAATACCCAACACGCATGACCTAGGTTAACATATATAATATACATAAGAAACCCTAAAATGTATGACAGGACCTTAGACCTTATTTTAGAAAAGTACAGGCCAAGCAGAGGTCAGGGAAACAAAATATACATAAACGGTAGACAAGACAAAGATCAAGGGATACAGAAGTCAGAATAGTCAAAGAACAAGCCAAGCCAAAATACACAAGAATCGATAGAAATAACTCTCTCTTAGATGACCAAACAGGAAATCATGACAGGGCACTGAGATATAATTAATATGAGTGTCAATACCCCAACAGCTCTGATTGGCCAATAGCAGTCATTTGATGTCGGAACATGAGTGTGTGACATTGACTTTACAGCATATGCAAATTTGACCAGCGTTAAAATGGGGAAGACACATAAAAAACATAAAAGGCTCTAGTGCCCAACAGCCAGGTCTCTAATGCTTTTAGACAAGGCTGCAGCTGAGGTACGGCCGATACCTCGTGGTAATGTGACGCAACTAAGTGTGCCTGCTGGGTCTGGAACCACACTCCTGTACAGCGGTGCCGTGACTGTATCATGGCAGACTGCTGAAAAAGTTTCAGTAAGCAAATCTGAAACAATATACTCATCATCTTTCATTTCTATTCATCTGACATTGTTTGACATCAATTATACGTTTCGTTTTGTTTGATTCTTTTTGTTTGCTTGATTTTAGTATGATGTTGGATTTGAGTGCAGCAAGGTGAAAGGTTTGTAAAGCATGGCTTAGACTTAATACAGCATGTGTGAATTCATATCAGTTCATATAATACTCTTATGTGATTTATAGAACACATTAGGGTTTAGTATTGGACTTAGACTGTATACATAAGACATTATATAGGGCTGGTTTTAGGAGGTAAATATATTCAGAAGGGATCATAAAAGTTTCCCTTGTGCTGAATCCCGCAGTCTATTTGCTGTCTAGCAACATTTTGATCTCTCCCTATCTCAACAAAGTCAGGGCCAATTTGACTGGACAAACTTGCCAGTCATTAAGTGGGATGAGTTTTTTTTTACTTTCCAAGTTATTCCACTTAGTTCTTATTGAACTCAGTGGAAAACTCACCGAACCATGGAGTTTCTGGGCAGACTATGCACTTCAAGGTTTTATTTATACACAGATTAAACAACTCTGAAAAATTATCTTCATTTTTAATTTGCAGACATATCAATAAATAAAAAGCTTCAATATCCATTAGGCTTATATAAATATGTGTAATTTACATACCAATAGGACAGTCTTGCTTATTGCACATATCCTTTTCTTTGCTTTCTCCTGCACACTTCTTTCCTCCATACTGTGGTTTGGGATTATTACAAAGTCGAGACCTATCTCGTAGTCCACCTCCACAGGTGACACTACAGCTGGACCATGGAGACCAAGGGCCCCATTTCCCATTAACTGAAACACAGAATACAAGAATGTACTGAATGAATGTAATGTCTTTTCAGATTTCTTAAAGGAAGACAATTATACAATGGTGAAATGCTGAAAAAGGAGATGTGGCTAGCAGAGTGAACAATTTATTTAGTATGAACATTTCGTACAGAATCTTACTCTTTTATAAAATGTCAAAAATCCAACAAAACATTAGCAAATCAAACATAACTGTATACTGCTTGTCAATGTGCTTAGTCTCATTAACCAACATTAACTAAATATACAATTTTTAGAGAGATTCAAATGTATTTTACATATTGGTTAATTTATTAACAAATTATTTAACTCATTTTGCTTTTGAGTTTTTTCTTTTTTTAAAACTGTCATTAACTCATTTACTACTTAGCATAACATTTATTGTAGCAAGGAATGCATAGCCAACATGTACACATATAATAACACAGCAATTTTGCAAATAGATTGCTTTGCAGGGAAACTTAACAATTTAAAGTATGTAAATTGACACAATTTTTATTTTTCACGTATTCATTCAGCCTTTACAAAAAATATTTTGGACACGAAATGCTTTAGACAGCACTTGTCATTATTCTTCCAATATTTCACAAAGTCTGAAATGTTAGTATAAAAGCAAAAATGCAATTATTCTCACAAACAGTAGGTGTGACAAAAAAAAAAAATGTAAATCAACATTGTCAAATTCCTTGCTTATATTTGTAAGGATCCTGAATGATTTAAAGGAACACTATAGTCACCTAAATTACTTTAGCTAAATAAAGCAGTTTTAGTGTATAGATCATTCCCCTGCAATTTCACTGCTCAATTCACTGTCATTTAGGAGTTAAATCACTTTGTTTCTGTTTATGCAGCCCTAGCCACACCTCCCCTGGCTATGATTGACAGAGCCTGTATGAAAAATAAAAACTGGTTTCACTTTCAAACAGATGTAATTTACCTTAAATAATTGTATCTCAATCTCTAAATTGAACTTTAATCACATACAAGAGGCTATTGCAGGGTCTAGCAAGCTATTAACATAGCAGGGGATAAGAAAATCGTAATTAAACAGAACTTGCAATAAAGAAAGCCTAAATAGGGCTCTCTTTACAGGAAGTGTTTATGGAAGGCTGTGCAAGTCACATGCAGGGAGGTGTGACTAGGGTTCATAAACAAAGGGATTTAACTCCCAAATGGCAGAGGATTGAGCAGTGAGGCTGCAGGGGCATGTTCTATACACCAAAACTGCTTCATTAAGCTAAAGTTGTTCAGGTGACTATAGTGTCCCTTTAATACAGTTTATGGAGAATGGCAATACAATACATATATAAATGTCTGTATTTGCATTAATACCCACATGCAATAAATATTATTAAATCATATATTTCTAAAACAAGAGTATTTAAAATTTCTATAGCAATCTTTATCAATCAGGGACTGCTCATGTAATGATAAAATTAAATGCTAGAGTCCATTCATTCCTGCTAGAGTCCATACATCAAAACTTCCTTTACTGTTTGGAAAGGGGGCGAGTTGACATTTTCAGCAAACTTGCATTATATCAGTGACTAGTGGGTTCTGGTAGATAAATTAATTGCAGTACAGGCTGGTAGTCATTCTTAAAGTTAAATAAGGGTGAGTGAGCTTTATGGACTAAATTCCATTCTGCAAAATGCATGAAAATAAAAATATTCATGCTTCACTCTTTTAGTAAAGTGGTCAAGTGGCCAAGGACCAGAAACTTACTTGGGCATGGCACTCCTTCACATTGTTTTGTTTCACGCCCTGCTCCAGAGCAGTTGTGTCCACCCAGCTGTGGTTTAGGAGAGTTGCACAAGCGAATACGAGTAATGTTACCAATGCCACATGTTACAGAACAAGCTGACCATGGTGACCAATGGCTCCATCCACCATCCTGGCGTACTAAAAAAAAAAAAATATTCATAGATGTGATTATAGCATCATTATAACATTATCGTGCTTTGACGTGTATCATGATTTTGTATAATCACAGACATGTATTAACTCAATTTGCAACTTAGGTATTATACATGGTCATGTGAGTCATTATTATGCAACTTGTATGCTAGGTTTATGTTATTTAAAAGTTGTTTTAGATCATATCGCAATAAAACATGTTTATTTAAGTTTAATAATTAGATTCATAGAATTATTTATGAATGGAATACAATGTAAACAGTATAGACATGATTGTCTCCAATCCATATTTTCTTGAGTACAACAATAAATAAAGTCTGATGGGAACTATTTTGTGAATCTGACAATATGAAAATCAGCCTATTTCATACGCCCTGTTATCTTTATTTTAGTGAAGCATGATTTGAAAGCAGATGTCAAGTTAAAATCTTGTGTAAACTAATATTCTGTATTCTGCCTAATGCTGTTTCTTCATAGTAAAAATGATTGTCTACACAGAAAGCCTGCTCTAGTATTCTAAGTATTTCTCAAGGCCATGTTAAAGTACTTGTTAGACCTATCAGTCCACTCCAAACGAATATTCATTCTCAGCTAAATCAGACAGACTAGAAATACTTCAGTCATACAATGTAAAACTGTTTGTTAGTAATACTACTTCTAATAAAAAACATAATTTATTTTCAATTTAATTAAGTTGTTTTTAAAGAGAGATGTCAAAATGTACTAAATTTTAGGGGTCAGGAATCAAAAAGTAACACCAGCCCTATTTTACTACATTGAGGTACAAAGACTTAAAACTTTATGTATCAGGCAACATAAATGTGTATTCCCAGCCAACTGCCAATTTTTCTATGTAAGCAAAAAACAAAAACCACAACAACAAAAGTTACTACAACTTAAAGGAACACTATAGTCATCAGAACAACTACAGTTAATGTAATGTTCTGGTGTCTATAGCCTGTCCCTGCAGGCTTTTCAATGTACTCAGTGCCTTTTCAGTGAAAAGGCTGTGTACATTGTTACGTAGGAACACCTCTAGTGGCAGTCACTCAGTGGTACACTGGATTTCAGCATTTCCACGCTCTACATGGAGGCGCTGAACATTCCTCATAGAGATGCATTGATTCAATCTGTATAAGGAGATGTTGACTGGTGCAGTGTGGCAATTTAAAATTTATGATCTAAGCCATGGAGGCAGAGCTAGGTGAGGCCAGCCACAGGAGACTGGCGTGGCATGGGAAAAAAGGTGATATAAATCACCTTTTAACTGCGGTCGGAGGGGGCCGCTAACCTTAACAGCCACAACAGCACTATAGTGTTCGAAATACATGTTTGTATTCCTGACACTATAGTGTTCCTTTAAAATGAAAGCTTGTGATTTTTTTGGGATGGAGTGTTATTACATAGTATTTTATTATAATACTGTTATTACTAATGACTATGCTCATATTGGTATGTTCTACCAGATACACTAGATCTTAATGGTGCTTTATAAATAAATGCATAAATAAATACATTTAAAAAACAACAATATTTCCAATTAAGAACAAAAGCATGTTTTTAGTTTTCAAACACCGTTATGCATTCTTCATTATATTATGGATTACATTTTTTATCTGGGTTAGTAACCAACACCTGCATCAAAATATAAATCAGTCCCCACCCTCCCCCCCAAAAAATAAAACAACCTAATTAAACAAATAATGATTCAAATAATGCACGCAATGGGTAAATAAACATCAGCTGACAAATTAATTACATTCCTAAGTAAATATTTTGTTATTTATAAATTACATTTAGATGATCGCAGTTTAATTTTGGATAAATAAAATATAAGCAAGCTCTTTATTACTGTAAAGTACATATTATCCTTCATTGATATCAGTCCTTTCCACTTACTTCTGTTATCACATTTGCCAAGATTACATGTCCTTGTTTGGATTGATGAACCAGCACACGTGCTGCTGGTAGCATCACAAGATCTGCCACGTTGCTGAGTCCCGGAGCCACATGTCACAGAGCATTCTGTCCAATCAGACCATGGAGACCAACCAGTTTCACTATCCATGGCTAGAGAAAAGAAATACAAAGACAACATGATTACCAGGATGTGTTACACCCTGTCTATGTATACCCAACCTCACGGTACAAAGGTGAAGACAAAGATGGAGTTGATCTCTCATCCATACAGTGACCTGCTTTATTTAGCTCATTTAACATAATGCCACAGTTCCATAACAAAGTGCACTTGATAGTTTGCATCTTGCAAACATGGTGCTAGCAACATCAGTTTGCCATTGTCCTCTTAAATTCTCTCCTGTCTTTTTTTAATTAAATTTTCTGCTTTTCTTTCCAAGGACACGCTTACATTGTTTTAATCATTTTATTAAATGCTGCATTTCAGATAACATTAAAGTGGGTTTAAAACATTATTTCTTGATTGTACATGTATTCTGAATTTATTAGTAACAAAAACGAACTAATTACAACAGGTCTAATGAGAACACATTTCAATATAAAGCCCATATAGTACCAATAAATCAGACGTAGTGAGAATTATGATCCAACAACAGGACAGAGGCATATGCTAATTGTAAAGAAGCAAAATGTGTTGTAGGAAAGCTTGTTCATATGTGCATCTTCTATACAAATTAACATGGGGGTGATTATGACTTACGTAAGCAGACAGGACAGCATTCTCCTTCAATGAATGATGGGCTGGCACAATGCACAGAAGGGCAAGTGATTTGATGGCAAACAGTCCTTGAATTCTGTACAGGGAGATAAAATAATTTGAATCACATCATGTTCCAGCTATTCCCATATTTATCACTAAATAAGTATATCAATATAATTTTAGTAATGCAAGCCTTGTCATTAGACATACAGCTATGTACTTGACAATTAGACAGGCCTTTTTCATAAAAGTTAATAGTACAGTAGGAACTATATGATGACTGAAATTTACCCAAAAAAGAAATAAATATGGAAATTAGCTCTTGGCACATTCTGGTAAGATCCTACAAAGTCAGAACCAGGGCCCCTGAAAACAACAAGAAGTAATTAAACTATTTTACATAATTGAGAGGAAATTCTCTAATATTTATTCTGGGATGTTTCCTGACACAAACACAGCATGCATTAGGTGTGACTAATGAGTGAAGGTTTGAAACACTTTTCTCTTTGGTATGAGAAAGACGATAACAGAACACTAGAAATTCAAGCCACACCAATGAAAAGATATTTAAAAATATAAAATATTTTACTATTGTTCTGCACATGAGCAGCAGCTACACTTAAGGTTTTAAAAAAATGTATATAATATTATATGTTACACTATCAGTATTATAAGTATAAATAAACATTTAGTAATGAAATTAGTACAGATTTACTTCATGAGAGAGCTGTGTCATGACACATATGCACGTAGCTGCCATTTTATCCTCAGGGCCATATAAGGGCTCAGTGAGGCCTGGAGTATACAGCCCTAGAAGAAGCACTTTTTCTGTACCTAGTAGCCATGACAAAGAGCATTGGAGAAGGCATAAAAATAGCAGTGATTGAACTTGCACTTCAAGTATTGCAAGGCGAAAAAGATTATTTACTAAAATGAGAATTCAAAGTAAAGTGTATATGAATTTAAAATTTGAGACCAGAGTAGCTGAATAGTGATGTCCCGAACGGTTCGTGAACAGTTCACCACGAACGGTTCGCCGTGGACTCATCATTGAGTAAACTTTGACCCTGTACCTCACAGTCAGCAGACACATTCCAGCCAATCAGCAGCAGACCCTCCCTCCCAGACCCTCCCACCTCCTGGACAGTTCACTAAGAATGCAGCTTCAAAATGAATGTAAAATGGATGCTGTCCAGGAGGTGGGAGGGTCTGGGAGGGAGGGTCTGCTGCTGATTGGCTGGAATGTGTCTGCTGACTGTGAGGTACAGGGTCAAAGTTTACTCAATGATGAGTCCGCGGCGAACCGTTCGTGGCGAACCATTCGGGACATCACTATAGCTGAACTAAAAGCATATCTGATTTAGAGAATTCTTCTAGTTCCGCTATTACGACCTTAAATTTAAAATTCACTTTGCATTCACTTTAGTTAATAACCCTGTAGATCACCTGAGTGGATTATTATGCTATACTGTTGTGAATTACTGACCTCTGAAGGAAAAGCCGTTTGAATATGAGATCTATAGTCTTTACAACTGATTTAAAAAAACAACATATTTTTAGTTGATTTATTTTTTTGAACATTTTGTTTTTCTGGATATTTTAGACTTTTTGGAAAATTAGAAGAGTCTCAGAAGAGTTGCTTATTTTTTCTTAAACCATCAACCAATCAGAGCTGATATTACATAGCGAAATGTAATAGATGACATTGCTTGTAAAACCCTTTATAATGGGCCTTCCCTGCTATGAGAGCTCAGTCTGCGGTAAGTCCTTGTGGGACGAAGAGGGATTATTTTATTGTGTCAGGTTTTCCTTTTTCCTATTTTCTATATAATTTTTGTGATTGGCTTTTTTTATATTGAAGAGTTGCGTCTTGAGATGGTGGATATTTATGTTGCCTTTTCTGTTGTTGAAGATAAGAATTTGAGGGGGAAAAAAGACGTGAATTGGGTAAGTATAAATTTTACATTACAAGTACGTTTTATTGGCTACCTCTAACTATTATTAGGGAGAGAGGGATAAATATGGACATTTATTTTTATTGGGGTGGCTAGGAGATTGGGGACCTTTAGGCATCCAGGGAGGAGGGGGTGGAAAATAGCACTATTTAGAAGGGTGGACAAAAGCATTATTGTTTAATCAACAATTAGAACCCTACTTACCTCCATGGAGATGGGGGGGGAACTCTAAGTCTTCCCTTTCAATTATTATAATTAGGGCCCCCACATGCAGCCAATGGATGAGAGCACTAGGCTCTCTCCCTGAATTTTATAATAGCCCACAATTGTTGACCACTGGTGGGGCCATTGGACACACATAGTCCCCCCAGTTATTTCACAGGCCCTTTGAAATGGGATATTCTAGAGACTGGGCACTTTTGGTTGCCCAGTCACTAGTTTTACAAGTTTAGTATTTATTTATTTATTCATTTATTTATTTATCTATTACTGGTATTTATAAAGCAAAAACAAATTCCGCAGCGCTGTACAATTAGTGGAGGACGTGCAAGATACACAAACAAATACAAAAGGTAGACATGCACCCACCTGCTTGCATTGACACCAAGCAATAAGTTCTGATTTTTTAAAAATTGGGCCCAATTTGAAGCATTTGGTTCAGATTTCAGCTGTCCACCGTCAAGGACGCGCTACAGCAGAAAGGCAGCGGGAGAATAGAGAGGTAAATGCGTGGCTGAAGTCTGGGTGCAGGAAATAGGGTTTAGGGTTTTTAGAGCACTGGGACGATTTTGCACTTGGGTACAACCTGTATAGCCGTGATGGATTGCACCTAAACGGAAGAGGGTCTGCTGTACTGGGGGATAGGATGGCTAGGAGGTTGGAGGAGAATTTAAAGAAGTAGTGGGGGGGAGGTCAAAGCAATCTAGAAAATGGAGATGTGATGGAAAGGAGATGGGCTTTAGCTCAGTATAAGGGGGTGGAGATGGTGGGAGGGGAAGCTCAGAACAGAGGAGGTATGTAATATTGATATAAATTCACAAAAAGTACAAATTACTCATGATAATATTAAATGTATGCTTACTAATGCAAGGAGCCTATGTAACAAAATGGGGGAACTAGAGGCAGTAGTATACACTAAACAATATGATATAATAGGCATAACTGAAACATGGTGGGATGAGACACATGACTGGGCAGTTAACTTAAATGGGTACACGTTATTTAGGAAGGATAGGCAAAATAAGAAGGGTGGTGAGCTATGTTTGTATGTCAACCATGTGTTAAAGTCAAATCTTACTCATGTGGAGTGCAGCGAGGATAATGTGGAAGCTTTATGGGTAGATATCTGCTTGGGGTAAACAAAGGGAAATCAATTATTGGTTGGGATATGTTATAAACCACCTAATGTAAATATTAATAGAAACATAGAAACATAGAATGTGACAGCAGATAAGAACCGTTTGGCCCATCTAATCTGCCCAATTTTCTAAATACTTTTATTAGTCCCTGGCCTCATCTTATAGTTAGGATAGCCTTATGCCTATCCCACGCATGCTTAAACTCCTTTACTGTGTTAACCTCTACCACTTCAGCTGGAAGGCTATTCCATGCATCCACTTCCCTCTCAGTAAAGTAATACTTCCTGATATTTTTAAACCTTTGTCTCTAATTTAAGACTATGTCCTCTTGTTGTGGTAGTAGATCATATCTCCCCTGTCTCGTCTTTCCTCCAAGATATACATTTTAAGTTCCTTTAACCTTTCCTGGTAAGTTTTATCCTGCAATCCATGAACCAAGATAAATGAGGAAGAACAGCTGTTAGAGCAAATTGGGAAAGCTGCAAATCGGGGTAATCGATAATTATTGGAAATTTGAATTACCCAGACAAAAATTTAGATAGAGTGACTAAATCAGGTTTATGGGGAAATCAGGTTTATGAATGTATTAAATGACACCTTCATGTCACAACTGGTACAAGCACCAGCTAGAAAAAATGCTTGTCTGGATCTTGTTATAACCAACATTCAGGTAAGGGGGCATTTGGGAAATTAACTCAAAATACTCAAAAATAAACTCAAAAAAGCAAAAGCATGTGGGGTATACTAAAACATATGATTTAAAAAAAAGTCAATTTCAATAAGATTAGGGCAGCTCTACAACATATAGACTTGCATAAATTACTTAGTGAAAAAAATACTGAGGATAAATGGAAACTATTCAAACAAATATTAGAAAGGTACATTTCTCAGTATGTACCATTGGGTAATAAATATAAAAGAAACAAATTGAAACCAATGTGGCTTAGTAGAGAAGTAAAACATGAGATTAAAAATAAGAAGAGGGCATTTAAAGCATTTAAATTGGACAGATCAGAGGCATCCTATATAAGATATAAGGTAGCCAATAATGCTTGCAAAAAGGTAAAGTGGCTAAACTAGAAAAAGAAATTGATAGCCAAAAAATGCAAAACCAACCCCCAAACTTATTTGTAAGTACATCAATTCTAAAAAAAAAATTACAAAAAATGAAAGTGTAGGTAAACTGGAAACAGAGATGGGTCTGTTGGTTAATGAAGACCAGGAAAGAGCAAAAATTTTAAATAACAATTTTTCTTCAGTATATATTAATGAGGATCCTATGTCCAGAGATATGCATATGATTGCTGCAAAAAAACTTGCAGATAACTTGTAATTGGATGATTTGAGACAAGGTGCTACAGCAGTTAAAGGAAATTAATGTAAATAAAGCTTGGGGCACCCATGAGTACCTAAGGAGCAAAGTGGGGAAATAAGTGAACCTCCATATTTAATCATTCAAGATTATTTTGTTCCAGGTATTGAACCGGAGGATTGGAGGAAGGCAGATGTCATTCCTATGTTTAAAAAGGGTTCAAAATCCTTGCCTGGAAATTATAGACCTGTGAGATTAACTTCTGTGACTGGGAAATATTTGAAGGGCTATTAAGGGATAATATTCAGGAATTTCTTGGGAAGAACTTTGTTATTAGCAATAATCAGCATGGTTTTATGAAACATAAGTCATGTCAAACTAACCTAATTGCATTCTACGAAGAAGTAAGTAGAAGATCAGGGTTTTGCAGTGGATGTGATCTACTTGGATTTTGCCAAGGCATTTGATACAGTTCTTCACAATAGGTTAGTCTTCAAACTAAAAGAAATTGGTCTAGATGAATATTCCTGTTCTTTGGTAGAACATTGGCTTAAGGATAGAGTACAACGAGTTGTCATTAATGGTAAATTTTCAGGCTGGACAAAAGTGGTAAGTGGTGTCTCTCAGGGTTCTGTTTTGGGACCACTTCTATTTAACATATTTATAAATGATCTTGAAATAGGCATTGAAGGCCATGTTTCAGTGTTTGTAGATGACACAAAACTTTGTTATTCATTTAAAAAGGGTTCTTACTTGGCAGGTACACTTTGTGCAGCTGTCTACGATCCAGTCTTCGGTATCTGCAAAAAGACGTCCATCATGCCAACACATAGATTGGTTCTTCAGGGTTTTATTAGGCCCGATCAGTTCCCACAAAACTTGGTTCTCTTCAGACTGAAACAGAAATGAATCATTTACCAGTTTAGTCTGCATGAATAACTTGGATACTGTTAAATTTCAAAATAATATTAAACTTAGAGCCAGATATCATTCAAGAGGTGGCCATATCTTTCAAGAGATTAACTAAACAACCCAGACTGCTGTTAGAGGATGTAGACAATTCAGGAAACCCTAGCAGACATACTTTTTCACAGTATTCCTACAGAACCATCTAATAACACAAATACTACTAATGGATTTAGATTATGGGTGATGGGAAGAAGCATTTACAATTGCAGGAAGCAGCATAAGATTGGATCAGGTATAGTATCTGTATATTGGATCAGCACCTTAGTTACTTAAAGTCTCCATGACAAATTTACATATATAATACAGAAGAGTAGACAACCAATGAACAGTCATTCTGAACAATGTTATATAAAGACAGATGCTAGCAATGCATATGTAAACAATACATTGTGATCCACCAGTGGGAAGGGTGCATACCATTTCTTGATTAAAGAAATGTGAATCAAAGGTATGTTGTTTCGGTATAACCTTTCACAAAGCCTACCTGTTGCCATCAACACTTTCAATTCCATCCCTACTAAAGTGAACATCGAAATCTGCAAGTTTCATCATAGAGCAAGACGCAAATGCCTTAGCAAACATACCACTTTTTGTAGGTTATCCAGCAGGTTATTAACAACAATGCGAAGACCACTCAGCTCAGTAAACATGGTTCCTAACTCATCACAGGAGCGGTCACAGAAGTCCACTTGTCTGTTGGTCTTTTCTCCAGTGTACTCAGCAGTAATTGGTGTGAGGTGAAGAATTTCAGCTTTTTCACTGATAGCGTTAACATCACCTGAGGTCAAGAGGTGAATAAAGACATCATAGGTGAGTATTTGTCTCCAAAACAGATTCTGTTACAGATCTGCATAGGCTGTGCCAACATGTCAAAGTAAACTAAACTTGTAGTAGTGGAAAGGGCCAAGGCATGCAACAACAGCATCACATGTTTTTTATTAAGACATTCTCTTGGTAAATAAACTGATCTCAAATTTATGTTTCATTACATCAATACAGAATAACATTGTGAGAGCATCATGCCATGGAACAATGTGTCGGAAATAAAAGTTAGACATTCTTTCAGTATGAGTATCTGCAAACAATGTATAAACTATTTTTATGTGGTCACAAAAGTTCCTCTGAATCATATTTTGTTATTGAAAAAACAATGTTTGCTTTTATTTCAATTTAAACAGTTGTCAATACAAATGTCTTTGAGTCCATTAAAAGTACCAATTCTATAGACACTGTACCCCCTTAAGGACACATGACGGAAATATTCCATCATGATTCCCTTTTATTCCAGAAGTTGTGTCCTTAAGGGGGTACAGAAAAAGGAAATTACACAATTATTTCTTATTAAAATAATGACATGTGAAATTACCAATGCAAACAATGTTCTTTTATGATGAATGAAATCATAAATTGGAAAAGACTATATATATATATATATATATATATATATATATATATATATATATATATATATATATATATATATATATATATATATATATATATATATATATATATATATATATTTTTTTTTATTTTTTTTTTTTGTTCTTTTTTGTTTACATTTTTTGTATATTTTGGATTTGTTCTGTCTCTGTAATAATATCTCTATGACAACTAACCTCACAAATTGAAAATGTTTTGTAATGAAATAATATATTTCTCGGTGTGTACCCATTAAAGGAGCACAGCAGTTTAGAACATTTTAAATATTCATCAATTCCTATGACATAATACAAAACTTGGATACACATCATTTCATTGTCAGTAGTGGTTGTAAGAAATTCAAATCACTGGGTTACCATAGTAATAGAATAAAAATATTTATGTGTCTTGATTTTGTAGAATCATTTGGGTGACAGGCATCAATCACTACAAAATCTGTCAAAACAATGGGTTTGGCCTGGGCTATTAAAGTTCAGCATGAAACCAATGTAGGCACTGATGAACTTAAACTGAACTTGTCATAGAATCCTGCGGTTATGCTCAGAAATCACAAAAAAAGAGAGGAAAGGGGGGGATATGGGTAAATTTCTCCTATGTGGGGGATAACCCCTAGTGAACAACTTCACCAAAAGTACAAAACTAAAGAGAAAGAAAGAAGGAGAAAAATAGGACAGACTAGTCTAAATGGTCCTAATAGAGTGGATTTCCCTTTAAAAAGAGGGAAATTAGCATATTAAGCCTAATAACTGATTCCCAAAATAAAACTTAGCTTTTAATAACAACTAACTAAAAACACAGATCATGGTTGATACAATTGCCCACCAGGACAGCTATGAGTATATATAACCGAAAAACGGCACCTCCAGGAGCAGTCTAGAGGTGATCTCACACTGAACTTTCAGCATAAGATAACAGAGTGTTGAGAAAAAATAATAAATTGTGGAATAAGTAACAAAACGTTTCTTGATACTTTGTTTTGCCACTAAGTTAGCAACAGAGTATCAGCTATGGGTCTGAAGCATAGTTACACAGTGTTTAGTACTTTTCCCCTTCCTTGACTTTGGTCGGCCACCTCTCCCCCGCTACCCGCCAGATTTCAGATCCAAGATACAACATTTGATTTAATACTAGGTGATCCTGTAGTCCTTACCAGAATAAGTGACCTAATTTTTGGGGAATTGATTATTTTTGTCTAAATACACTGACAGTATCTCTCCAAGATATCAGACCGTTTCCTGGGAGGACTGTTCAGACCCATAGCTGATACTTTGTTGCTAACTTAGTGGCAAAACAAAGTATCAAGAAACGTTGTTACTTATTCCACAATTTATTATTTTTTCTCAACACTCTGTTATCTTATGCTAAAAGTTCAATGTGAGATCACCTCTAGACTGCTCCTGTATTTCAGCTATATATACTCATAGCTGTCCTGGTGGGCAATTGTATCAACCATGATCTGTGTTTTTAGTTAGTTGTTATTAAAAGCTAAGTTTTATTTTGGGAATCAGTTATTAGGCTTAATATTTTTCCCATGCTAATTTCCCTCTTTTTAGAGGGAAATCCACTCTATTAGGACCATTTAGACTAGTCTGTCCTATTTTTCTCCTTCTTTCTTTCTCTTTAGTTTTGTGCTCAGAAATCACATATAAAATAAATGGCTTATGCCTTTATATAAATGAGCCTTATTTGATTTTATTCTATCTGTATGTTCTTTAATGATCTTCTGAAGCACAGGCAGTGACTTGTCATCAACCAAAACAATGCAGTTATTAGGGCCATATGTGTCCTTCATTCATACAAAAGGTAATTAAAAAAATGCTAAATTTAACTGTAGATTATGGTAATTTGAGTGCAGGTTCTTTTAAGATTAGTAACACTGGTGCTTGGTGATCTAGTTAAACCAGGTGAAAAAAAAAGAAAACTAAGCAGAGTGACCTTGCCAGGACTTTTAGGAATATCCGATGCATATATAAAACAAAACAGGGGTGTATAGCAGATTTATAGAGGGGAAAAAGTGGTTGTGAATCTTGAATATACATTGTAGTGTAGACTATATTTTGTGATAAACCCACTTGGAAATATATGAATGTAAAATAAAACAATAGTATGCCTGTGGGATATGGTTAGCTAATATACAAGTGGTAACTTACAGTGAACAGCAAAATTTGATTTGGCCAATTTTAGCAAGTCTTTGAAGAACAATGCCAAGTAGATTGCAAGCATTTCAGAATTCCATCTGTTCCTTGATCACAGCTATAAATGGTTACTCCTAGGAAATGCTGCACATATGGAGTTTTACCTATTTTCTGCTGTAAGTGTCACTACTGTATCATTAGCTAGCCCAGAAACAAGTGTTCTTGGCTGGTTAATGTTAATTCTGTGCATATTTTTGTGCACAGATGCTCATTCATTTACTGAGAGCAGTCTCCCCAAAACCAGGGAGCAAAGCTAGGATACTACTACCATCATAATCACTACAGTGGGCTATTGTGGTTATCATGCTTGGAGTAATCCATTAACCTCAACTTGCAGATACCATTACTATTTATTTCTAGACTCAACTCCCAAATGTGGTCCATCTCTATTGTGCTCTGCTGGACTATGTTAAACATAAAAGTTAGAAGAGGGAATCAGCATCTAGCACTACTATGGGCGTAATCTCTATTTCAGGATGTGGGGTGCTACTGCCAGTGAAATCCTATTGGGGTTACATTTATATTTTGAAAATTGATCTGCCATTTTTCAAAGGCTTTAAAGTCTCTCAATTAAAAGCAAAAATCCAACGTCAACTTATAGGGGATTCAAACCAGTATGCATTGGGAGGTCAACAAAGGGCATGTATGCCAACTATCATTTATTTGAAAGAAAATTTAAGCTTTTTTGGAATTCTCTCCAATTGAGAAAGTGTTCCTGATCTACATTTTAAAATCTACATTTTTTTTGCTACCTGTTCACTGCCTATGGTAGGCTCACTTTTAGAAGTGAATGTTGGAGTTGCAGTATTCCATTGTTGATTCCTTCATGACCTTTGTTGGAGGAATAAATAATGAGCAGCAGTGCAGCAGTGACAAACATCATATTGTGATACTGACACCCCTTACAATGCCCTGTTCAGACTGTTCTTTAAAGTCAAAGCCAGGTAGGAAAGATTGTGCCTCCAGGTGCCACTAATAGCTGAATAAGAAGGAATTACGATCAATAGGGAAGGTGTTTAGGATGCAGGGGAGTGTCAGAACACTAAGAATTATTATTTATTAATGAAGAAGAAGGGTAGGGTAAGTAGAGGAAGAGGGGGGAGATTTTTAAAGTGGCTGTTTAAGCAACATACCCACTAAATGCTGATGTGTTATAATGCTGCAGACATCATCCCCCTAGTTCTTGATCAAACTGTTTTGTGCTATTTAATTAAAACTGGTTGGCTAGAAAGACATCTGCTAATTTGCTAATGGAGAATTGGAACGTCCCATTTTCATTAATTGACTGGAGATATCACCTGACACTAAACAACAAAAACACACTTTAAAAAATAAAAATAAATTCATTATGTCTTTGACATTAATCTAAAGATCAAATGAGATGCTTATTCAGTCAATGGCATTGAAATATGGATGAAATGTATACTACTTTTGAGAAAGTGGAACGGTGCCACAGTGAGTAACATCACAAGTACACTCTCACATTCGCACACACGTGTAACCCATAAAAACATCACCCTGCATTCCATGCTTTCTCACATAGTTGCAGTACACTGATATATGCATCTGCCTTCATATTTGCTGGCACAATGATCACTCCTACATTCTAACATTCTGACATAAGACATACATTCACAATAACACTATAAACAACAACAAATTTTTTTTCATATTTTGAGTGAATATGGGAAAGATGAGTTTCCAAACTTATTTTTTTAAGACTTGACCCATGGTTTCCAAATTAATATTTATTGCAGACCTGTGTAATATACCATTGCCATAGTCATAGTCAAGCCTGAATTATAATTCTTAGAAACACATTTTGTCTGCTCCTGTAAAAATCCTAAAAAGCTTATGCATCATAATTCACTCTAGCGTGTAATGATAACAACAGATTACATATCCCTGTAGTCTTATGTGCTCCAAGAGCCTAACATATGGATTTTGCTTCTTACATGTTTATTGCTAAAACCCTTGGGATTCAATGAGAACAAGTTCAAGACGTTCCTTTAAAGACCAAATATTTTTTATATGACATACATTATTAAAAACAAACTTCTGTTTTTGCCAACCACAGGATCCAAACATTGTATAGAGCTTATTTGTAAAAGGCCTATACTATTAAATACACGTTTCTATGAACATTGTTTTTATTGTTATAGTTATAAGAGGTAATCGTTTTATACTAAATGGGTGAAGATTATATTTTAACTTCATCTGTGCCAGATACTGATGAATATTTAAGAGAAGGTTAGTGAAACACAAACCACCTAACATAAAATCCCTAAAGTGGAGCGCTGGAAAATACTTACCCCTAGTGTTAAGAGTATCACACAATTCAGAGTAGAGGTCAAAGTATGCAGAGAAAAAAAGGGGGGAGGGGAGAGAAAATAATCCAATGGTGGAGTATATCATTTTATGTGACAATTAAATGATAAAATGTAAAACATATTAAAAAATAATGATAAAAAATGATTAATAATATATTTATAAAAAATGGCATAACTCAAAATCACTATTTAATCCGAAGGGGAAAAGAGAGTTGAGATTAAAAATCCATCTCATTTCTGTTTTCCCCATTACAGTAATGAGGTCCTCTCCTCTCCAGTTAGTTGCAACTTTCTGAATCCCTAAGAATGTGAATTGAGTTGGATCCATCCTATGTTTAATCTTAAAATGGTACTAGAGACTCTGTTTCTCAAATCCTAATTTGATATTTCTGACATGTTCCTGGATTCTTACATGTAACGCCCGTGTGGTCCTACCTACATACAACAATCCGCACGTACAAATTATTATATAAATTACTTTTTTTGAGTGACAAGTAATTAACTGTTTGATTGGAAAGTTTTCTGTCTCATTTTTAGGATGTATAAATTCCTTAATATGTCTCTTTTTTGTTTTTCGTATGGGTGCATGCTCCGCAGTTGCCACAGCCATAGAATCGCCCTTCTTCATTAAATGGATTTTTTAGGGTCTGTTTTTTCTGTAGATGGCTGTGGACTAACTTGCTCTTTAAATTTGGTACTCCCCTATAAATTATCTTTTGTTTCGCAGGAAGTATGGAGTTTAATAATGAGTCTTTTGTTAATATTGGCCAATATTTATTAAGAATGTTTTGGACAATTAGGATTTGAGAAACAGTCTCTCGCACCATTTTAAGATTAAACATAGGATGGATCCAACTCAACTCACATTCTTAGGGATACAGAAAGTTGCAACTAACTGGAGAGGAGAGGACCTCATTACTGTAATGGGGAAAACAGAAATGAGATGGATTTTTAATCTCAACTCTCTTTTCCCCTTCGGATTAAATAGTGATTTTGAGTTATGCCATTTTTAATAAATATATTACTAATCACTTTTTATCATTTTTTATTAATATATCATTTTATTGTCACATACACATAATTTTTTCATTTTTTTGGTGTTTTTTAGTTATTAATTTTATTCAAGAGATCAAGTTTTATATTTTATCTTTTTTAGCAATCTTTCCATTGCAACTTACCTAAACTATTGGTAAGAAATATACCTAAATGTAGATCTTTTTACAATACATGAGACTATAAAGAAGTATGGCACTTTAAATTTTAAGAGGGTAATATATACCTCTGTTCACTAATTTATTTAATGTATGACAATTCCTTATGAGCTAGAATACAGAACTGATTTCTTCATATATTTTATTCTCTCTCTTATCATTTCTATGTACATATGAACTCTTATGGACTTATGGGTATAAATACCCTCATGTATGAACACCGAAGACTGGCAAAATTGCAAGTGAATGCCAGTAAGGGATATGGCGAAACCCACACCGGAAGTGATGGATAGGCGTGACGTCACTTCCGGAAACCGATGCGGTAGTTATGATCAGCTGTGAGAAAACACCTACGTATCCGACGGATCGGATTGGACTATGAGGACACGAAAGGATGAATCAGGAAGGTAGCATGGGTTTAAAGAAAAGGAGGTAATGATGAGAAGATTAACTTCGATTGAAAAAGCCAGAGAAAGGGGCGAAACGCGTCTCGAGGATAGTCCCAGCAGATAGGACAGTGATTTTATTGTTTTGTGTAATAACTTTTTAATTTTGAATAAATTGATCAGTTGGATCATCTTTAAGTCCAGAATTTTCTGCTTTCTACACTTACCCCCCTGAGTGGGTAACAAGCCATCCAAACCAGAGCCAAACACATTATATTGGCTCTAGACAAGGTGAGCAGTATACCACCTGGTGTCTGTTTTTATATATTTGTCCAGATTTATTTTGAACATACTGCACCAGATAGATATCTTTGTCTCCACATATTTCTTAACGAGAATTGAAGGAAGAAGTTAAAGAGGGAAGGTGTCCCTGATGTACACCAAAGGGAATATGATTTGAGCCAGTCCCTCTTTTGGCTCTCCACTTGTGAGTTGATCCCTATACATTTTTTATTATTAATAGAATAGACTTAATATACTCCACCATTGGATTATTTTATCCCCCCTCCCCCCTTTGTTTCTCTTCATACTTCGACCTCTACTCTGAATTGTGTGATACCCCTAAGACTAGGGGTAAGTATTTTCCAGCGCCCCACTTTAGGGATTTTATGTTAGGTGGTTTGTGTTTCACTAACCTGCTCTTAAACTCCCAACTTTTGTATCACTTTGTATCAACTGGTGGATTAGAGAGATCCACTTATAAGTGTTGTAGCAGCTGCATGAATTATATACTTTTTATTACTTCTCAAGCGCCTACTTGTCACACAGATCACTCTGGTTACTGATGAATATTTCAATTCTAACTTAAATCATGTATATTTCAGTTAATTGAACTCAGTGAAATCAAGGAGTAGTTTATAAACTGTTAAAGTGTACCTGTCATGCAAATTATACTGTCCCTTTATAAGGGATAAATTTTATCTGTACATGTGCTAGCCAAATGGGTTTTCTTTGATTATCTGTGTGTTTATTTATATGCTATCAGGTCCCCCCTCTATATTTTAATAAGGTATTTACTTTAACAATGACATTTGACTAGAGTGTTGGTAACAAATACACTTTAAAACAAGTGTAAAGGCAGGTACTACTCACTTCCCAATATAATCTATACTACTATACACAATGTATTTATTTATGACATTTATTTATGCACAGCTTTTATTATAACTGAAGCACACACTATGTTGATTCAATTTCCTGCTGTTCAACTTCTTAACAAGAGCTTTGTGAATTGAAAACTACAGCTATGTTTAGGGATGTGAATGCAGAACATACACCTTTTAAAAAACAAACAAACAAAAAAAAAGCATTTTAAGGTTTTGGATAGTGGTCAATGATATTAAGTTGAATGGTTCCATTGTTCCAATTGTAATTACATGCTTTCAAAGAAGAGGGATTGAAATGTTGTATCTCTAACCTGTATAGACAAGACTATCTATATATTTTACCTTCTATCTGTCGGTAGCATAATGATTTTAAACCTGATTATGTTACAGCTAGAATTAAAGCATTCACATTTGGTTGAGCACAGACAATGAGAATAGCAAAGGGAGGATTGCTCATTGACCTGCTAACAAGGTTCCCTAAAACTGCAACGCCCCTTTAGGGAATGTAGCCTCCACAATCTCTTACCCTGTGTTAAATTCACACTTACCCCTGCAATGGCACATTATGCATTTAAATATATGAGCTAACCAGCTGGAAAGTAAGTATATTTCTCTGGTATTCAGGCTTCTGTAATTTCCTGTTTTAAATACATATATATCCCAGCAAACATCAGTATAAGTAATGTTGGTTACGTGTGACACTTCCTAAAGTAACCTGTATACTTCTCTCTCAGTCAACATTTTGTTAGATTTTGAGTAACATTTTTTTCCAAAAGAAAATGCCATAGTCCACGTGAATGTTTTATATGAATAAAAAAAATAAAAAAGTGACAAAAGGGGGATTTCCTCTGATTATTTTTTTTTTTTTTAGCTAATACATTGATGGCATTCTGAACATTTAACTAAAAAGATAATTTATAAAATGAAGAAGCTATACAATAAATACCACATCTTTGCATTGGCATTTCCAAAATTCTTCAAATGAACATAGTTTTATTGTTTTAAGCAGAGATTTATGGGATATGTAGTTCAACATTCAGCAGCAGATCTACTCATGAGAAAAATGTGGAGGAGAGATTCAGAGAAAAGAGTGCTTCAAATAAGTATTTCTTTTAGTATAGATGTTGCTGATGCAGCTTGTTTTCAATGGCATGCAACAATCCAGATTAGATAACATTTCACAGACTATTCTAAACAGGAATAGTTGATGATCGTATGTAACTTCTATATTAAAGTTACTGTTTAATGAAATTTAACATATACATTTTTTTTTTCCATAATAATGACAACGCTAAATTAGATGAGTGATCCGTATAAAAATGATGAGTTATAAACTCATCATTCTTATACAGATCATTCATGTAATCAATCATATTTGAAAGGAGTAGTAGATTCTGACAAATAATAAAAATACAAGTTAAATTAACATGGTAATGATGTGCTACATTCCCTGGAGGTAGCTATTTAACAATTGCTACATGAAAAGTAAAGAGGTCACAGATCAGTCAAAGGAGAAAAAGCATTAGACAGGTAAATTGCTAGTATCAGATAACGGAAGACATGACTGCTTGGTATGCAAGTGAACATGTGTACCTGTGTGGCTTAGCTGGCACCCTTTTTTCTTCAGAACATCTTCAATTGTTGTGTCAAAAATGAAATGAATATTTTGAATAAGTCCCTACAAGAAATAATTAAAAGCAGATTATCATGATGACCTTGCACTGAAAAGTAACTATGTCATTCTGGAAAAAATAATACAAATTTTTAAAAAATGAATGTTCTCTATGCATCAATCACTGAATACAAAACAACTACATATATCATATAAGCACCAAATTTTTTTGTTGTTGTTAATTTCTCATTGATTATTATGGTTATTAAAAGGATGATATTAAACATTAACCCCTTAAGGACTGGACTGTTTTTGCGATGTTGTACATTTGCGACCAGGCATATTTTTACACTTTTGTGGTGTTTGTGTTTGGCTGGAATTTTCCGCTCTCTCATTTACTGTTCCCATGCAAATTATATATTGTTTTTTTCAGGACAAAAGGGGCTTTCTTTACATACCATTATTTATATAATCTCATGTATTTTAATTTTTAAAAAATAAAAAAATATGATGAAAAATTGAAAAAAATACATGTTTTTTGACTTTTACTTGAAAAATCTTTTACTCATCTACAAAAGCGAATTAAAAAAACTGCTAAATAGATTCAAAATTTTGTCCTGAGTTTAAAAATACCCCGTGTTTACATGCTTTTTTGCTTTTTTTTGCATGTTATAGGGCTATAGGTACAAGTAGAATATTGCGGTTTCAAAACATAAATTTTTTAAATTTATCAATAGTGACATTGTAACACTATTATCTGTCATAAATCTCTGAATAACACCCCACATGTACATATTTTTTTTAAAGTAGACAACCCAGGGTATTCAATATGGGGTATGTCCAGTCTTTTTTAGTAGCCACTTAGTCGAAAACACTGGCCAAAGTAAGAATTCATATTTGTTTGTGTGTGAAAAAAGTAAAAAAACTAAATTGAACGCTAATTTTGGCCAGTGTTTGTGACCAAGTGGTTACTAAAAAGACTGGACATACCCCATTTGCAATACCTTGGGTTGTCTTCTTTTGCAAATGGTATGCCATCATGGGGGTAATTCTCATTCCTGGGCTACCATACGCTCTCAAAGGCAACGTAACCAACCTGGCCATTTTCAATGTAAAAATATTTGACCCATATATTTGACCTTGTAACTTTCAAAAATACTATAAAACCTGTACATGGGGGGTACTGTTTTACTCAGGAGACTTTGCTGAACACAAATATTAGTGTTTAAAAACTGGAAAACGTATCATAACAATTATATCATCAGTAAAAGTGCTGTTTGTGTGTGAAAAATGCAAAAAAAGTCACTTTCACTGACAATATCATCGCTGTGATATGTTTTACTGTTTTGAATCACTAATATTTGTGTTCAGCGAAGTCTCCCGAGTAAAACAGTACCCCCCATGTACAGGTTTTAGGGTGTCGTAGAACGTTACAGGGTAAAATACAGTGCTAGCAAATTCAATTCTCTGGAATTTCGGCCTGGGTTGGCAGGCAGGTCCCTTAAATTGCAATCAATAAAATTACTGAATTATGTAAAACTATTACATAAATACGCACGTAGAATTTAAATATATATGCATATTTATATATTTGAAGTCTACGTGTATATTTATATAATTATTTATGTAATTTTGTATATGGACATATGTATATTTCGTATTATTTTTATTTATTTATATATACATAGATATATATACAATTTCATTCTAAGTGTATTTTGATATAAATATATATATATTAATTATCAAAATACAGTTAGAATAAAATTTCATATAGATATATAATTTTTTTAATTTTTTTATTATTTTTAAATTTTTTATTTAATTTAAATTACTTATTTGTATTTTATAATAATATATATATACAATATATATAGTATATATATTATATATATACGTGTGTAATTTAATTATAAGTGTATTTTTATATTAATATAAGTACATATTAATATAAAAATACACTTAGTATGGCATTATATAGATGATATATAGACATATATTATATAGATATATTATATGTCTATATATCATATATACACCTATATAATTATTATTATTTTTTTTATTACCATTAACTTTATTTTTATTTTTGATTTTACATTAGCAGGGAGACTGCCTGTCAGCACAGACAGTCCCCCTGCAGGCAGCACTATGGACACCTATTGTGACCATGTGATCGCTGTGTTAAGCGATCACATGGCCACAGGGGTCCTAAATCTGCCGTGGGGAGACTGTCTGGGCTGCAGGCAGTCTCCCCACAACCGGAGGAACACTGATCGCCGCCGGGGGAACGACGGCGATCAGGTAAGTACCCCCAGACCGTTAGGACGGTTCAGGACCGTCATCGGTCCTCAAGGCAAAAATGCCGATGATGGTCCTGAACCGTCCTCGGTCGCTAAGGGGTTAAAGGATCACAATAGTGTCAGGAAAACAAACCCATTTTCCTGACACTATAGTGCCCTAAGGGTGCCTCCACCCTCAGGGTCCCCCTCCCTTGGCGCTGAAGGGGTTAAAACTTCTTCAGCAGCTTACCTTAAACCAGCGCTGGGCTCCCTCGGCGCTGGTGACCTCTCCACCCCCGCCGACGTCAGAGGAAAGCATTTCTCAATGCGAATTTCGCTTCCAGCGTCGCAAATGCACCTCTTGCGGCTGTCAGGAAGACAGCCACTAGAGGTTGGATTAACCCTGCTATGTAAACATAGCAGTTTTTCTAAAACTGCTATGTTTATATGTGAAGGGTTAAAACCTGAGGGACCTGGCACCCAGACCACTTCATTGAGCTGAAGTGGTCTGGGTGACTACAGTGTCCCTTTAAAGGAACACTATAGGGTGAGGAATACTAACATGTATTCCTGACCCTATAGTGTTAAAACCACCATTTAAGTGGATTGCCCCCCTTCCCCCTTCCCCCTTAGCCCCCTTAAAAGTTAATAAAACCCACCTTATTTCCAGCGCCGCAAAGGTCTGCCGGTGCTGACTCCGCCCTTGATTTAGCAAATCCAATGTTTTTACATAGGGAAAGAATTGGATAGGCTAAGATCAGCAAGGAGGCGGGACGGGGGAAGGGCCAAACGCCGGCTTGGGCAATCAGCACTTCCTCATAGAGATGCATTGATTTAATGCATCTCTATGAGGAAAGTTCAGTGTCCCTAATGAAGAGCGTGGAGAGCACCTCCGGTGGCCAACTGAGGAGTGGCCACTGAAGATGTCATTAGGGGGCAATGTAAACACTGCAGTTTCTCTGAAAAAGACAGTGTTTACTGCAAAAAGCCTGCAGGAACTGACTATACTCACCAGAACAACTACATGCTGTGACTATAGTGTCCCTTTAATCAAGCATGTGCTGCATAAAGAGGAGATCCAGGACTCACATCTATGGTGGAATCTAGTTTAGCAAACCTTGTAATACCTGCTGTGAATTTTTATTGGATGGAAGGCAGGGCCATCTTTAATACTAATAGGACCCTGTGCAAGCATCCCCTGGACCCTGCCCCCTCTTCCCCCCCCCCATTTAAATTTTCCCTACCCCCTTATTATGTGGCACGGAGGGAGCTGAGCAGGAAGAGCTCAGGTGAGCATGCTCCCTTGCTGCCCGCCTTGGGGGGGGGTGCTCAAAAGTGGCCAGCTGGACGGTTCTTGAGCCCCTCCAGGACACGAGGCAAACAAGGGATCTGCCTGGGCGTTTGGGGGTGGCTTTTTTTGCCGCCCCCTGCAAAGTGCTGCCCAAGGCAGATGCCTTGTTTGCCTCGCGGAAGATACGTCCCTGATGTAGTGTTGATGTTTCATTGCAGTAGTGTGTTTGTATGTAGTGTTGAAGTTTGTATGCAGTGTTGGTGTTAAATGCTGAGATATATGCACATATACACGTACACTGCTACACACACACTATAAAGCACATAGATACAGATACACCTACACACACTAAAACACATGCAGATATAAAGACACATATACACACACTGAGACACATGCAGATACAGACACACAGACTGACACAGATACAAACACTCCGATACACATACATACAGACAAACAGATACACACCTTGACACATATGCAGATGCTCAGAGACACAGGTACACACTGACACATATACAGATACACATACACATATACTGTTAGACATACTGACACACACATAATAACATACATACTGACACACATATAAATACATCCCCTGACACACACACAGGCACATATACTGACAGACATACTGACACACACAGGCACATATACTGACAGACATACTGACACACACAGACACATACACTGACAGACTTACTGACACACACAGTTACATATACTGACCGACATACTGACACACAGATACATACACTGATAGACACACTGACATACACACACAGGCAAACATACTGACACACACACACACAGACATACTGACACACACATACACACACACACACATACATACTGACAAACACATTGATAGATATACTGACACACACACACAGGCATACTGACCCGCACACTGACAGGCATACTGACACACACAGACATACTAACTGACACACACACAGACACATACATTGACAGACATACTGACACACACACTGATAGACATACTGATACACACACAGACAGGCAAACTGACACACACAGATATGTACACTGCTAGACATACTGACACACACACTGACAGACCTACTGACACACACATAGACACACACAGACATTCTGACTGACACACACAGACATACTGATACACACACTAACCGACATACACATAGACACACACACAGACATACTAACACACATGTACAATTTACATTGTTTAAAGCCCACCCTCCAGTTCCCTACATGTTTCTGGAGGGTTGGTTCCCTTGGGTCCAGTGTGGTGTCTGAGGCTGATGTGAGGAGCCCCCTCTCCTCACTGCCTGCTCCTCCCTCCTGCGCGACTTCTCTCTCTGTGGGAGGAAGTGACTTGCAGCTGTCACTTCCTCCCAGCCAGCTGCCGAAAAGTCTGCTAAAACAAGTCCACCAGGTGGCCCTAGGGGCATTGGCCACCCAGTGGGCCTTCTTAGTGGCTGAACCAGAAGGGCCATTGGGATGGAGGGGAAATAAATAGATCAGGGCAGTGGAATCCACAGGGCAGCTGCCTTGGGCCCCCCAGGAGTAACTGGGCCCGGGGCATTTTGCACAAGAAAGTTGGATGGATGATCTATTGGCATAAAAAAAAAAATCACCATGCAACACCATGGTGTTAGCCAAATTTTTTGAGTGATATTGATTATCGCTTGGTGCAATCTTTAAAAAAAAAAAAAAAAAGCTGCATCTACTTTTTTTATTGGTCCTATATACACGGGCACAGAATACTGGAAACTTGTAAGTTCAACAAGAATTACTCTAGAACAAACCCTGTCTGTCTGTCAAAAGTATTTAACCAGAAAAAGTACATTCAGATTACTCTGGTTTCCATGTACATTCTGAGGTTGCTACTTTTACCCAACAGACAATGGATATTACTATTACCAATTTAATTTTACTAATTATTTTCTACTTAGGAAGAATAAACGGCTGAGTAAACCCTGTGACCCCCAATTCTACTGGCTAATGATGCATTAGCCCACTGAGCAATCTCACCAGTCTGTCTGTCTGTCTATCTATTTATCAACTTTTAAGGCATATATAAATAATATCCTATTCCAAATTGTTCTTAAAATTTTTAAAAAAACAAATCAAAAAGTTTGCTTACCCTAAAGTGGTTTTCTCGGATTGACCCCTTAACTATATACATCTTCTCAGCCTTTATATGCTCGAAGAATGGATCCTCCAGGCGAAAGCTGTCAATGAGATCACAGCTAACATAGAGGTTGAAGCTTTCAGCTGTCACCTGAACTGTAATATTTTTCCACTGGGAGTCTGCCAGGTCCACATCTTCTAAGGATATAACATTCTGTGTTCCATCTACCCAATAAATCAGGTCCAGAGTATTGGCTCGTCCATTTGAAACAAGTTCAAATAGTCTATTGGATATGCCTGGACCTTCCATAGCAATTATAGTCCCTCTGTTGTGTTTATCTTGTCTAAATTTGGCTGTTAAGATAAAGCCTTCATTTTGCTGCATAAGTTCATTTATCTGCCTCATCTTTTCATCATTAACTGGAGGTATGTGATCAAAACGAAGAAATCTATATGCGGGGGAACCTGGTTCATGTCCTCGAAACATTTTGGCTCCTATTGTCTTCTTGTTTATATTACTGATTTCAATGAGATCAAAAGTATTTTCATCTTCCTTTTCTTCTTCATCTAAAAATACAGGAGACATTATATGATATGTTTCAGAGGTTAATGTTAAAATACTGATTATATAGAAATAGTTTAAATCGTGTATGTACTGAAATACAGCATTTTCTAAAACCAATATAAAATGGTTTGGAATTCTATTATAAACAGTTGTTAAATACAACTCATCAATTCCAGATTTATGAAGTCATGTGAAATTGCATTTAGCAGATTTGATTATAAACAAGTGAATAATTAAATTATAAATAAAACTGGCTATGTTTGAGAGGAAAATTAAATTTTCTTAAAAACTTTTACACATACATAAATAATTGAGATATGTCATTTTCCCCTTGTTTAAGATGCTATAACAGTTCATAAAATAAATCAGGTAGTGGTGACTTTTATATTGGTTAACATTTAAAGCAGAACGTTTTACTGCATTTGAAATATATTGCTCTATAAATTTATCATTAACACTAAATCGAAATATAATATTGTAAGCTTGTGAGCAGAATTTTCAGACCTTGTGTATCGGTTTACTTAATGACCTAATGCTGAGGGATATGTTTACAAATTAATTTACATAGAAACATAGAATGTGACAGCAGATAAGAACCATTTTGGCCCATCTAGTCTGCCCAATTTTTTAAATACTTTCATTAGTCCCTGGCCTTATCTTATAGTTAGGAAAGCCTTATGCCTATCCCACGCATGCTTAAACTCCTTTACTGTGTTAACCTCTACCACTTCAGCTGGAAGGCTGTTCCATGCATCTACTACCCTCTCCGTAAAGTAATACTTCCTGATCTTATTTTTAAACCTTTGCCCTCTCTTGTTGTGGTAGTTATTCTTCTTTTAAATATAGTCTCCCCCTTGACTGTGTTGATTCCCTTTATGTATTTAAATGTTTCTATCATATGCCCCCTGTCTCGTCTTTCCTCCAAACTATACATGTTAAGTTCCTTTAACCTTTCCTTGTAAGTTTTATCCTGCAATCCATGAACCAGTTTAGTAGCCCTTCTCTGAACTCTCTCTAAAGTATCAATATCCTTCTGGAGATATGGTCTCCAGTACTGCGTGCAATACTCCAAGGTCTCACCAGTGTTCTGTACAATGGCATGAGCACTTCCCTCTTTCTACTGCTAATACCTCTCCCTATACAACCAAGCATTCTGCTAGCATTTCCTGCTGCTCTATTGCATTGTCTGCCTACCTTTAAGTCATCAGAAATAATCACCCCTAAATCCCTTTCCTCAGATGTTGAGGTTAGGACTCTATCAAATATTCTGTATTCTGCCCTTGGGTTTTTACGTCCAAGATGCATTATCTTGCACTTATCCACATTAAATGTCAGTTGCCACAATTCTGACCATTTTTTCTAGTTTACCTAAATCATTTGCCATTTGGCTTATCCCTCCTGGAACATCAACCCTGTTACATATCTTAGTATCATCAGCAAAAAGACATACCTTACCATCAAGACCTTCTGCAATATCACTAATAAAAATATTAAAGAGAATGGGTCAAGTACAGATCCCTGAGGTACCCCACTGGTGACAAGTCCAAGCTTCGAATATATTCCATTAACTACAACCATCTGTTGCCTGTCACTCAGCCACTGCCTTACCCATTCAACAATATTGGAATCCAAACTTAAAGATTGCAGTTTATTGATAAGCCTTCTGTGTGCAACAGTGTCAAAAGCCTTACTGAAATCTAGGTAAGCAATGTCTACTGCACCACCCTGATCTAATATTTTAGTTACCCAATCAAAAAAATCAATAAGATTCGTTTGGCATGATCTCCCTGAAGTAAACCCATGTTGTCTCTGATCTTGAAATCCATGTGTTTTTAGATGTTCAACAATCCTATCCTTTAACATGGTTTCCATTACTTTTCCCACTACTGAAGTAAGGCTTACTTTCCTATTACCGTTCTTGTGAATGGGCACAACATACTTTAATGCTTGTAAAGCTGGAAGATCATTGATGCTAGTTGTATTATAGTTCATACTAAGCTCTATAAATAATGCTACCACGTAAAATAACAATGCCCAGCAAAGCATCCAGGCCTGCGGGAACCCATGGCCTATCTCAGTTCCCTTATGATTTTTGAAGAGGGAGCTCAATTGCCATGCTTAATTCGGTTATGGTAGAAGCTTTTATTGTACAGGTAGATTTATATGGAGCATTGGGGGTGGGAAAGTGGTGGAAAACCTGAGGAATTCTCATACTTATTTGTCTGATTTTACCCCACTATGTGTCAGTGTGTGACAATGAGTTTGTGTCAGTGTGTCTTCTCATCCCAGGTCAAGTCTTTAAATAAGTGTATGAGTCAAAAGTGGGTAGGTTGGCTTTGGGTGCCATGGAAACCTAAAGTTTTAATGGGACTGGAGGTACAAATAAAAGACTTGCCCCTGAGCAACTCATGCTATGTTTCTTGATTCCCTGTCTCATTACCAAAAACATATTGCTCATGAGATATCTAATTCTGGAAACCTGTTGTATACTGAAGCCCTTAACATTCCTGTAAAGTACAGGAAATATGTCCAAATATGTCCAATAAGTTTAAACTTAAAACAGCAAATACTCTTTAATGCATAAATAACACTACTAGAAACCCATTACCTTGAGCATGGAGGGAGAAACAGAAAGACAGTAGGATGGGTAGCCACAATAGTGTTCTCTGTAGCATAACTCCTAAATGAGAAAAGAAAAATCAGAAAATAATCAGCAGAATTGTTTTGTACGAGTAAATTCTTTGGCATGTAATCATGAATCATCATTTGGCATAATCACTCTATTCAAAATAATCCTTATATAGCATTAGTGAAGTAAAGTATTGCATTATACAAGCACCAATATTATGCACACAGTGGTAAATCATAAATTTGACAATCCTTAGTTCATTAAAATGATAATCCTTGCAACACATGAATCCTAACCCTATATTTGAGATGGCCAAAAAATGATGACAACTTTCACAATAACCATGCACATCATGTGTGTCACGGTGCCCAGTCGGCACCGTGTGGCTGCACATGATCAGTGAGCTCACACGGTGCCCGATCGGTGCCGTGTGGAAGCGCCCGATCGTGCGGCCATGCTGCAGGAGGGAGAGTTTACTAACTAATCCACAGTGCCTCTCCTTCTGAGTGACATCTGGTGTAGCAGCCGGGTCCAACGTTATGGACGCCGGCCGATTCAGTCCCGCGCTACTAAACAGTTCAGCCCCCCAAAACGTCAAAAGTGATGTAAACGTGCATGCAGCGTCACATTTTCGATGCACATGCACTTTTTGGGGTCATAGGTCCCATTTTAACCAATGAGCAGGCTTTGGAGGTTATTTAAACCCAAACCTGCTAGTGTTCAGTGCCCTGTTGTGATTTCCACTACTTTGGTTATCCGAGAGTGTGTTTGGTATATTGTTATCCTTGTTTTGATCTTGGCTTGTTCTGACTATCTGTAATTCTGGTATCCTGACCCTTTGGCTTTGCCTTCTCGTTTATGCTCCTGTCTGTGTCCCTGACTTTGACTTGTTTTTGACTATTCTTATTACATTAAATTCGACCATTCGACTTAATTCTGCATGTTGGGCCACAGCCCCATCCTGACAATGTGTCTATAAACTAGGCTTGTGCCTAGCAGAAATATGTAGGCCATATAGTAGGTTTTTTCTAAAAATAAAATTGAGTTCATCCGTTCATTAGAAAGTCCCACTTTACGGAAAATTGTTCATGAAAAATATTTAAGAAATGATTTGAAAGAAGAAAAAAAAAAAAAGTGCATAAATGAGCCAATCAGTGTATTATAAAATATATATCATTATTATAAATGTTATATTTGTATTTTGCAGTACATTGATGTGATAAGCTGCCTTACACCTGTCTTTTGTTTAAAAAGTAGAACGGAAGATGGTGGATAATTGTAAACCAACAAATTAGATTCCTTGCAATTTGCCTTGTTAAACACGGGTCATAAAACCTCCTCATTCAGTGGTTGGGCAGACACACCTCCTTCTACATGCATTCCCTGTGCAATTTGGGAGATACAGGAATCTGATTGCATTTCAATTTTAAGTCACATTGCTCTAAAGCATACCCTGTTGCTAAGAGCAGGGACGTTTTAGCCGCGAGGTAAGCAAGGCATTTGCCTTGGGCGGCATTTTTCAGGGGGTGGCAAAAAACGCCGCCCCCCAAATGCCCTTGCGGCTAACAGACATGCTGGGCTGGCGGGCGGGCGGCGCTGGGCGGGCGGCTGGCGAGGGAGCACTTCCTCTGAGCTGTCTGCTCAGCTCCCTCGTGCACCGCAGAGTGAGGCTGGGAGCCGGAATATGACATCATCTTTCGGCTCCCAGCCTCACTCTGAGGCGCACGAGGGAGCTGAGCAGAGTGCTCAGTGGAAGAGCTCCCTCGCCAGCCAACCACCAGCGCCCAGTAGCCAGCCCATCAGCCTGACCGGCAGCCACTGAACCCCCAGGGACAAAGAGACCCCCCCTGCATTCCCAAAGGTAAGGGGGGGGTTAAATAAAAAAAAGTGTTAATGTGAGTGTGTGTGAGTGTCTGACTGTGTGTGTGTGTCTGACTGTGTGTGTGTTTGTGTCTGACTGACTGTGTGTTTGTGTCTGACTGTGTGCGTGTGTGACTGACTGTGTGTGTGTGTGACTGACTGTGTGTGTGTGTGACTGACTGTGTGTGTGTTTGTGTCTGACTGTGTGTGTTTGTGCCTAGGGCAGCACAAAACCAGGATACACCACTGGCTAAGAGGCTAAAAACTAAAGAGATGGGCTGACAAAAGGGAAACTTTACATTGGGTCATCAATTGCCCCCTGTGGTGCCTTAGACTAGCACCAAGCATGGGCTGGAGGAAGTGATACAGGTTATAAAAAAGGGTCTGTGCAAACTACTGAAAAAAAATATCTCTGAATACTTGAGAGCTAGTCTCCCCTAAAGTACCCTGGATGTAGCTTCTCCTTTTACACCAGCAGAAGGTTGCGTGAGGGAGCTGGAAGAGCTCGAAGGACTGCTCTTGCCTCGGCGCTTATGGCAGCATTTTTTGCCGCCTCCCTGAAAGTACCACCCTAGGCAAATGCCATGTTTGCCTCACAGCAAATATAGCCCTGTATATAAATTTGGATTATTTTACTGCTCAACCTTTTTTCCCCTTATTGGTCACTTCTCACTTAATCTGTGAATACAATCAACATGCAGTGGCTGTCGTATAGTGATCAAACATCTTTTTTTACCATTGATTATCTCTTATTTTGGAGCTAACAAGCATGCTCAGTTATATGTCTGGAGAAAAAGCATTCAGCCGAACTACTGATCATCCAAAATTCTGAGGAATGGCAGTTTGTCCAAAACCAAATGCACAAGTCTACTATCCTCTAATCAGCAAGCTAGTAGTGGCAATAGTAACTAATACGCAGAAGGACGATGTAAGTAAACACCTATTTTCTGCAGGTGAAAAAAAATGACTCAAATGTCTATGGAGGCTTGCCTCTTTGGCAACAGTTGACATGTTTTGTCTTTGGCTGTATTCAACAATGTTATCCCTGCGAAGGACATGCACATATTTAGCAGTTTTAACGTTTAAGCCATTGTTGGACTCTACAGCTTTAACCCAGCCTGCTCTACAAATCATACTTTGAGAGACTTGTACTCAATAGCATCTGCGTTTTTATTTGCCTCTTTTCTGGTCTAGCAGTTAGGCCCTTGGTCAGGTTTCTGCTTATTTTTCCTTTAGAACAATTTTCTTTTCCTGCAGACTCTGCTTTCCTGTTACTCTGTGGGTATAATCGAGATGAAGTGTGAAGTACAAATTTAAAACTGAAATTCTTTGAAAGAAAATGTACCACATTGTGTGAGAAGCTGGTGTCCTTAATGCCATTTCTTTTAATATGAGCATTTTTTTTATTTAAATGTCTGTTCTAAAACTGTCCATTAAATATTTAACTTTCATAAAAAATTGTCATCAGTCATTCTAAATTCTTTGCTATATCAATTATACTATTCTTCCCTCAAAATGTTTCAGGAAACAGATGTGGATGCAAATGCTTTTGGTCTTCATGGTGTGTTGTAAATGTACTATACAGCTGCTCATTAATTCCAGGTTGGAATATGTTTGTTGTAATTATATTTGTGCATATACATGAGGAAAGGTACCTTTATGTCTTTTTTTTTAGACTTTCAGGTATTAATACCTTTTTAAAAGATTATTCTGTGGCATACTAACAGAGTATCCCAGAACATAATTCACATTTGGGTAAATATTCCAACTAATGACAATGCCCTGTCCTTTTCTGTGATTGACAATATAGGTTTTTAATCACTGATCTGGAATAGGTCCCTAATTAACCATATTGCTATTTTCTATGTTTGGATCAAATGTTTCTTAATGTATGCTTGTCTCAAGATCTTCACCTTATTACAATAATTCCCAGTTGCCAGGTTCTTGTGTTCTGGGTCTGTAGTACTGGAGACTTATGATACTGTCACTGGCGTCACGCCCCAACTTAAAGGAATGGCGAATCTCAGAAACAGATGTTCTAGATAGACGTATCCAAGGTGAGGATTATAGAAATAAACGTAATAACCAGTCATGTCAGGATACCAGAATTACACAAAGTCAAATACAATCAGAGATCAATATCAAAATATATCAAGAGAGACTTACTGTGAGCACTAACATGTATCAAGGCAGAAACCATGATAGGACAAGTAAAAAGGGCCTAAACTAACACTATATAGGCTAACAATGTTTCTGATTGGTCCGCGTCATCTCTGAGAGTCCAAATGTTTGATAATGGGGTCACCTGGATGATGTGGTCAATTTAAGGGCAGATGTGACATCACAACATTTGAATTTATTCAAGCGAGCAGCATCTAATATAATGTGGGGAAGAGGACTTTGGCCTTTGGAACCAGCAGAGGAAGCTGTTCGCCTGGCCAAATGGTAAGTATTCTCTGTTCAAGCCCTGTGGAGCATTTGGGCTGTGCAAACAGGGGATGGGAGAATCACGGTCACGCAAGGCGTTTTGTTTCTGCATCCCGATGAGTGGAGTATTGCGGCCTCCAGGAACAGGTACGTTTGTGACAGATCCCTATACTGAAAAAAAATGTACATTCATTTTCTTTTATGAGTTTTGGCTCTGGCAATTCTCAGGTCTATAATATTGTAATACAATGTCAAGTTCTGATATATAGTAATTAAGACTGGTGATCTATTTATTAGATTGCTTTATGGACTTACACGCACACTCCCTTTAAAGCACTTTAGCTTCAAGAAGTGCTTTTTCATTTTTTGCAAAAAGTGCAGATTGCTATAAAAATTGCCACTTTTATAAATTAACATTGTTAATTAACCTTGGCTGTGAATCGATTAATTCCTGGTTTCTTAGCTCAATGGAGGCAAGCAATTACTCAGAGCACCTGCCTGCAAATTTGTTTTAATAAGTAAGTCTGTAGTTGTGCAGCCACAGAAAGTCTAGGCTGGGTTAGAAGGGGAAGTCTTGCAAAAGGTTTCAGTCAAGATATCTTAAGCTTTTGCAAGCTGTTTTTAGAAACACCCCAATTTAAAATAATGCATAATTAAATGGAGATATATTTACTAAACAGTGGTGTTATTATTTATTTAACATTTGGTTTGTTGAGTGTCCCTTTAAACTGTATTTCACAGTTCACTGTAGTAGTTTTGTTTTAAGGAGTGTTTGAGTGTCATTCCCTGTTTTTATATTTTGAAACCATTATTGAGCAGTTTGACAAAAATAGGGTTCTCACTGATTTGAAGCTCATTTGAGGCTCAGACGATGCAGACATTTCACTTCCACATTAACTGTCCAACCCACTGGGCAAACACATCTTCAGTTCTTTAAGCCATGAACTGCTCTCTCATGCTCAGTGATTTTGTCAAACTGCTCAAAAATATTTTTAACTTTTAAAGTGAATGTCTGCTATGTAAATGTCTGCTATGAACAATGCACTTTAATTTAGTAAAGAGTAACTGAATATTTTATATTCTGTGTATAACTTTTTCTTTCTTTGTGTTACTTTTTGATATGGTTTAATATGCTTTGGTATGTTCTTTAGGGTCATTAAAGTGAAAACGTTCTCTCTTTCTTTCTCTCTTTCTTTCTCTCTTTCTCCATTAATATGTAGGGGCATGACGGGGGCTTCCTATGGAATGTTAAATTCAATTTATAGCACAGGGGATGGACATCGGATACTTGACTTGCCAAATAATGATTACTGTGTCAGGGGAACAGGCACTGAAACTAGCATATAGTAGAGTACTGAATTTAATAATGAGGATGTGTTGGTATGTAATTCATCATGTTTATGCTTTAAAGGCACACTGTAGGCACCTAGACCACTTCAGCAAATTGAAGTAGTCTGGGTGCTGTGACCCTTTTGCAATCAGTGCTACATTGCAGCTCTAAGCCTGCCCTCTGTGGCTGTCTACCAGACAGCAACTAGAGGGCTTCCGGGTTTCAAACAGACTTTTAGTCCATTATCTGACGCTGGACATGTGTCAATGCATGAGGACCTCCAGTGTCAGATTTTCCCCATAGGAAAGCATTGAACAATGCTTTCCTATGGGGAGTTCAAATGCGCAAGGGGGGGGCATGGGCAGAGCCTGATCCAGCACCGAGGAGGGACATTGACGCTGGATTCAGTTAATTGGCGGGGGGAGGGCCCAAGGGAGGGGGGAACTCAAGGACCAGGAGCCTATAGTGCCAGGCAAATTGGGTTGTTTTCCAGGCACTAAAGTATCCCTTTAATTGCATGCATATTACCAACAAGTACAGGATGGGAAGAGTTGGTAAATCTGCAGTTGCCCTGTTCCTTTTTACCACTACGTTAAACCAATCTGCTATACATATGGTGGAAACAGAAGGAATTAGCAGGATACACCTTTGCTAGTTGGATGACTTATCCCCAGCTGCCTTTTTTAATATCCACACCACACACCATATTGTTTAATGTTTGGGGCAGTTGTGAGTCTCGGTGAGTGCTGATTGGACTTTACTCTTTATGAGCAATTTATTTCTTGAACTTGGTATTACAAATCTTGCTTACTGCTTTGGGATTTCTGCACTTAGTTTTATTAAGGGGTTTAATCACTGTAGTCATCATTGTGCAGATTTTAGAAAGAAGATTAAAGCAAACTATGTTTGAAAGAATTTGATTTTCCTTTTAGTTTTAAAAATAATTAATGTAAACACAAAAATGCCTAATATAAGTGGAAAGACCTTTCTTGAATAATGTATTTGTGTTTGCGAAATTGCATTTTTATATTGATTTAACAGAGAGATCAGGTGTCTTATTTAAGTCTACATCACATTATAATAATAGCCTTCTCACTAAGTTATCATTTGCCTGGTTTAACATATGTTCAGTAACATTTATATATTTTGTTGAGTGTCACATTTGATTGCATATTAGAAATATGGCTAAGTCAAAAGAATGGTCCTCAAAGAGAAGACATCATTGTCCTTCACAAACAAGGTACAGGATACAAAAAGATAACGAATGCACTGAATGTTTCTAGAGACACCATTGGAAGCATAGTTTGCAAGTTGAAGGAACTGTGGTTACACTACCTGGACGGGGCAGAAAAATTACTGCAACCAGATTTCTGAGAAGGCAGGTTGTAAAAAACCCTCGAATAACTGCAAAAGACCTGCAGTAAGACTAGGTGGCAACACGCACTGAGTTTTCAGTGTGCACAGTAAGGTGCGTACTAAACATAGAAGGTTTCCATGCCAGAACTCCAAAACGTACACAATGCTGACCCAAACGCACAAGAAAAGTCAGCTCCAATATGCCCTAAATTATATTAATAAGCCACAGACAGACGGGATTCTGTTCTTTGGAGCAATGAAACAAAACTTGAACTTTTTTGCCAAATAGATCAGCGGTATGTCGGGAAGAAGAAGAATGAAGCATATGCTGAAAAGAACACTATGCCAACAATTAAACATGGTTGTGGTTTGGTGATGCTATAAGGCTGCTTTGCATTCTCTGGCACTGGAACCCTGCAGCATGTGGAAGGCAAGATGGATTCATTAATGTATCAGGAAATCCTAGGATAAGACATCATGCTGTCTGTGAGGAAGCAGAAGCTTGGTGGTCCTTGAACCTTCCAACAAGACAATGATCTTAAGCATACCTCTGTTAGAGACCAGGAACCAGACAAGAGACAGAATGTAAAGTCCAGGAGGCAAGCTGGGGTCAGGAACCAAAACGGGAAATCAAGCGAATTGGAGTAAGGTGAACAGAGATCAGTGAATTCAGAAACCAGAAGGGAAGACAGCCAAACAAGGTAAACACAGGAATCAGTCTTGGAAACTGGAAAAAAAATGCAATGACTAGGAGGTAGGTACTAAGACTTGTGACTTAAAGAGCCTGTACTGAGTAGCAAAAGGGGCTAGCTAATAGCCACCAGGGGAGTAACCATGACAACAGTTATGAAAGGAGTTGATCATTAAAACAGCTGAACAGCCCAGACACAGTGTAAGAAAGGGCTGCTGTTATATAAAGCAGAGAAACCCTGACAACCTCAAATGCCATCAAGGCTTTGTTGCAGAAGAAGTCCTGGAAAATTCTACAGTGGCCACCATGGTCACCTGACTTGAACCCCATAGAAAATCTCTGGTGGGATTTGAAGAAGGCAGCTGTAGCACGCAAACCTACAAATATTACTGCACTGGGGCCATTGCTCATGGAACAAGATTCCTCAGGAACACTGCCAGAAGTTGATGCCTAGCTATGCATCTCATTTGCAGCAGATCATAAGAGCAAAAGTGTGTTCTACTTAGTATTAAAGATGCTTGCGATGAAGTGGTTGAGTAGTTTTGAAACTGGAGAAGTCATTAAAAATTGGATTTGGGGAAACCACCTGAAGCATTCATTGTGTTGAGCTACTTTAATTGATTTTGTTTGATTTGTTCATTGCAAACAGCTGGAAGTCTGTAAATTTAAATTAACTTGATTTTCAATGTGGGTTGAATAATTTTGATTACATCTGTATATATATTATATCACACTATTCAAATGTAGCATCCTCTGTCAATCTCAAATTTGACATAATCCACTGAATTGGACAATTCACGTAAGATTTTGTTCTCAAAAAAGGTTATTAATTTGTACTTATTCTTCAAACCAAGGGTTGCCAGCCCTCCAAAACCACCAGCCAGTGCACTATTTTAGTTTTTAGAATAATGATTTATGCATTCCCCCTGTTAATAGCTCTCCTGATCCCCTCAGCAGCCGTTTTATCATGCCTTTTATGGCTGACCACCATGAGACGTGCAACCCTCTGTTGTTTTAGTGACATGCATTAGCCAATACTTCATACCATATGGCAAACAAGGCTTCATCTACTTGACTTTAATGTTCAACAATGGAAGCTTCTTCCTTAATGGTAATGTAAGCAGACATGTTTTAAAAAAAAAAATGCAAGTTACATTGGGGAAAATAGGATTCAATTTGATGCAACATTACCTTTTGTAATTATGTAGGTGGACAGCACATTTTAGCAGAGTTGGCCACATAAACATAATAACCCAGTCTGCACGTTGAAATTAAAGGACCACTATAGGCACCCTGACCACTTCAGCTTCATGAGGTGGTCTGGGTGCCAGGTCCAGCTAGGTTTAACCCTTTCTTCTATAAACATAGCAGTTTCAGAGAAACTGCTATGTTTATAAATGGGTTAATCCAGCCTCTAGTGGCTGTCTCATTGACAGCAGCTAGAGGGCTTCCGTGCTTCTCACTCTGATTTTCACAGTGAGAAGACGCCAGCGTCCATAGGAAAGCATTGTGAATGCTTTCCTATGGACTGGCTGAATGCGCGCGCAGCTCCTGCCGCGCATGCGCATTCAGCCAAAGAGGAGGAGAGGAGGCGGAGAGAAGGAGGAGAGCTCCCCGCCCGGTGCTGGAGAAAGAGGTAAGTTTAACCCCTTCCTCCCCCTAGAGCCCGGCGGGAGGGGGACCCTGAGGGTGGGGGCACCCTCAGGGCACTATAGTGCCAGGAAAACGATTATGTTTTCCTGGCACTATAGTGGTCCTTTAATATAAACATCCTCACTGTCATTACAGTCCAGATGCCATTTGTTTGCTATGATTCTTTAAAAAGACAGACCTAAATGATATGTGCTAGTATGACTGTTAAGACTTATACCCAAGAAAATAGACAGCAAAATGACACTGCTGTAGAATTAAAGTCTCTACAGGGAGTGCAGAATTATTAGGCAAGTTGTATTTTTGAGGATTAATTTTATTATTGAACAACAACCATGTTCTCAATGAACCCAAAAAACTCATTAATATCAAAGCTGAAGTATTTAGTTTGTTTTTAGTTATAGCTATGTTAGGGGGATATCTGTGTGTGCAGGTGACTATTACTGTGCATAATTATTAGGCAACTTAACAAAAAACAAATATATACCCATTTCAATTATTTATTATTACCAGTGAAACCAATATAACATCTCAACATTCACAAATATACATTTCTGACATTCAAAACAAAACAAAAACAAATCAGTGACCAATATAGCCACCTTTCTTTGCAAGGACACTCAAAAGCCTGCCATCCATGGATTCTGTCAGTGTTTTGATCTGTTCACCATCAACATTGCGTGCAGCAGCAACCACAGCCTCCCAGACACTGTTCAGAGAGGTGTACTGTTTTCCCTCCTTGTAAATCTCACATTTGATGATGGACCACAGGTTCTCAATGGGGTTCAGATCAGGTGAACAAGGAGGCCATGTCATTAGATTTTCTTCTTTTATACCCTTTCTTGCCAGCCACGCTGTGGAGTACTTGGACGCGTGTGATGGAGCATTGTCCTGCATGAAAATCATGTTTTTCTTGAAGGATGCAGACTTCTTCCTGTACCACTGCTTGAAGAAGGTGTCTTCCAGGAACTGGCAGTAGGACTGGGAGTTGAGCTTGACTCCATCCTCAACCCGAAAAGGCCCCACAAGCTCATCTTTGATGATACCAGCCCAAACCAGTACTCCACCTCCACCTTGCTGGCGTCTGAGTCGGACTGGAGCTCTCTGCCCTTTACCAATCCAGCCACGGGCCCATCCATCTGGCCCATCAAGACTCACTCTCATTTCATCAGTCCATAAAACCTTAGAAAAATCAGTCTTGAGATATTTCTTGGCCCAGTCTTGACGTTTCAGCTTGTGTGTCTTGTTCAGTGGTGGTCGTCTTTCAGCCTTTCTTACCTTGGCCATGTCTCTGAGTATTGCACACCTTGTGCTTTTGGGCACTCCAGTGATGTTGCAGCTCTGAAATATGGCCAAACTGGTGGCAAGTGGCATCGTGGCAGCTGCACGCTTGACTTTTCTCAGTTCATGGGCAGTTATTTTGCGCCTTGGTTTTTCCACACGCTTCTTGCGACCCTGTTGACTATTTTGAATGAAACGCTTGATTGTTCGATGATCACGCTTCAGAAGCTTTGCAATTTTAAGAGTGCTGCATCCCTCTGCAAGATATCTCACTATTTTTGACTTTTCTGAGCCTGTCAAGTCCTTCTTTTGACCCATTTTGCCAAAGGAAAGGAAGTTGCCTAATAATTATGCACACCTGATATAGGGTGTTGATGTCATTAGACCACACCCCTTCTCATTACAGAGATGCACATCACCTAATATGCTTAATTGGTAGTAGGCTTTCGAGCCTATACAGCTTGGAGTAAGACAACATGCATAAAGAGGATGATGTGGTCAAAATACTCATTTGCCTAATAATTCTGCACTCCCTGTATTTCACTCTAGATTTGCAATTGAGTGTTTTTTTCTGTGTCCTCCTAATTGAGTTCCACTTTATCTCCATCCCAGTAGAGAACAGGGGGTATGTCTTCTGCTAATGCTATTCATCTCAGCAAGTTAAACAGGCTTTATACCAGCATCAATAAGTTTGAAGGAGAATATAAGACAACAAAAATCCTATATTTATATAGACTTATTTAAGCTGCTTGAAAAATGTATATACTTTCTTGCGTAATGAGAGCTGTGGATGGAACTGGACCACACATGTATCAGTGACTAAAATCAGAGCTAAAATAAATGTCAACTATGTTTCATGCACCATGTGTGAATTTTTTGTTAACAGGATAATAAGCTCAATGTGTCACTAATAAATTAACTAAACATGTTGGGACACCACGTAACTTTTTATTACCATTTGTTATTCAAGCAGGTCTCATTTTCCAGTCTCATAAATTAAAGGGACACTGTAGGCACTTTAATTATTTTATCTAATTGTCTCATTTTATTTAATCGTTATTATGCCTGGACTTCACTTGGGCAGTCCCTTCATATAGTGTTAAACCATTTTCAAGCAGTGGGTTTCCCTAGTCGAAATAGCAGCCCGGATTACTTTTTTTTTAGCCATATCAGTCCATGGGTGATAGTGATAGGCAAAAAAAAGTCAGCTGACACTTGTTAAAACTGTTTACATAGAATAACGGCACACAGGGAATCTAGACACTATAACCATATTAATGCAATGAAGCCATGTAGGCATGAAATTCTCATCCTCCCCACTCCCATACCAAAAAAAACCAGTTGTCTATGATTTGGAGGATGAACTAGAGAGTCAGGAAGCTTGTATCATCCCGTCTCTCTGAAAATGAAAAAAATATGCAATTACCATATTTGCCAACATACAGTCAGGCAAGCTGTTTCATTGATAGGTGTGGGATATTCCCTCATTATTTCTTCATCAATTAAGCAGGTAAAAGGTCTAGAGTTGATTCTGTTGCTGTTAACCCACAACATGCAGTCAAATGGGCTCTCAATGCAAGTGAAACAGGCCATCCTTAGGCTCCAAAACAAATCCAACAGAGAAATAGCAGGAGTGGCCAAACAGTTTGGCACATTCTGAGAAAAAAAAATGCCTTGGTGAGCTCCGCAGCATTAAAAGGACGGAAAACAACAGTGGCGGATGATTGTAGGATCCTGTCCATGGTAAAGACAAACCCCTTCACAACATCCAGTCAAGTGAAGAACACTCTCCAGGTGGTAGGCATATCATTATTCAAGTCTACCAGAAAGAGAAAACTCCACGACAGCAATCACAGACAGCAATCACAGACAGTTCACCACAAGGTGCAAACCAGTAATAAACCTCAAGCATAGAAAGGCCAGATTAGACTTTGCCAAAACACATCTAAAATAGCAATCCCAATTTTGGAACAGATGAAACTAAGATCAACCTTTGCCAGAATGATGGGAAGAAAAAAGGATGGAGAAGACTTCATGATCCAAACCATACCGCATCATTTGTAAAACACGGTGGAGGCACTGTGATGGCATGGGCATGCATGGTTTCCAATGGCACTGTGTCACTAATGTTAATTGATGATGTGACAGAAAACTGAAGCAGCCGTATGTAATCTGAAGCGTTTAGGGATATATTGTCTGCTCAGATTCAGCTAATTTCATCGAAGTTGATCAGACGGCGCTTCACTTTACAGATGGACAATGACCCAAAACATACTACAAAAGCAACCCAGGAGTTTTTTTAAGGCACAGAAGTGGAATATTCTGCAATGGCCAAGTCAATTGCCTGATCACAACCTGATCGAGCATGCATTTCACTTACTAAAGACAAAACTTAAGACAGAAAGCCCCACGAACAAACAACTACTGAAAACACCTGCAGTAAAGGCCTGGCAAAGAATCACAAAGGAGGACACCCAGCGTTTGGTGATGTCCATGCGTTCTAGACTTCAATCAGCCATTGCCTGCAAAATATCCTTAACAAAGTATAAAAATGTACATTTTATTTATGATAGTTTTAATTTGTTCAATTATATTTAAGCCCCTGAAATAAGGGGACTGTGTATGAAAATGGCTGCAATTCCTAAACATTTCATATACGATGCATTTGTTTAATCCTTTGAATTAAAGCTAAGAGTACTTCAATTGCATCCCGATGGTTTCACTTCAAATCCATTGTGGTGACGTACAGAGGCAAAATTATGAAAATTGTGTCATTGTCCATATATTTCCGGACCTAACTCTATGTCTCAAGATGAAAAGAACACATTCGTTGAAAAAGTAGGTAGCCCAAGTAGACAGATTCCTGTAGGCAGGCCTATAGAATTTACAGGGTAGAGGCAATAAGAAATTATCACTTTGTAACAGTTCTGCTTCAGTGAATTATTACATAAACATTAACATCAAGGTAATTTTTACACTGGTTAGTAAAATTACAAACTCAAAAAAAAATAAAAAATAGTTTTGTACTAGCATAGCAACCAAAAACACCATTGTTAACTAGGCTGTGAATATTGAAAAACAAAATATATATGACTGAAATGGCTTACTCTCCAGTCACTTTAAACAGCAGAATGGCAGGAGCCAATTGTTTTATGGCTCTCTAGAAGTCCTTGTTTTCTTAAAGGCTTTATATTTTAGTTCGGGTGGAGGGTTTGCATTGCATACATGCAATAAATGCGCATTCACTTGTTCATGTAAAAGTGAATGGCATATTGAAGTTATTTTTAACAAGTTTTAGTTGTACAGTATGGTTAGTTATTATTATTAGTAGTAGTAGTAGTTACTAAGACTGTAAGAGTTTACCATGGAATCTGAATAACTATTATTAGCTTTGGATTATAGTACTTAGTCCTAATGCAGTGCATATTATGCCATAAACACCATAGGCGGCTCATGCCTTCAGAGGGCGCAGCAACCTTAAAATCAATTTCAAATTAAGACTCTGCCACAAAGTGCAAAAAGTCTCTTGAAAAACCTCAATGAAACTAAAATTGTTCTATTTCTTCCAGACATTAAATTAGTCACCAAGTAACATCTCTAGCAGTTATCTAAACACAGATTTTGTATAACTGGCTGGATTCTTAAAGGTTGGCGGTAGGCAATGTAACTCATCTAATTTTTCATCTCATTGAAGTTGTAATAGTGTCCGGAGCCCTGTTCTTCCAATCATTGATAAGCCATTTTTTATGTTTTAATGGCGGTGATTGGCTGAGAGTATCAGCTGACTGCTTTCAGCCTGTCACAGCCACCATTGCTGGTATGAATTGGTATGGCTAAAAGGAAGTGTGTATTCTCTGCTTTAGTCATACTTCCAGTGGGGGTCAAACTATAGGTGTCCGGGGACCCTTAATTAGTGTTACTATGCACAAAATGTGTTTAACACTGAATAGAGGGGTAGTACTAGTGAACTCCAAGCGCTATAACCAATTTAAAGAGATGAAATGGATATAGTGCATCAGCGGGTCATCCACATTCCATAACTTGGAATCACCACATAACTGAATCATGAAACAAATAAAGCAGACAATAGATGAAGGTGTTTTTTTTTTGCAATTTGGAGATGACTGCTTAGAACAATAATGATTGATTTGGGTTAGGGGACATAAAATTTTAATTTTATTCATAAATCAAGAGTGTAAGTAATAGGGGAGCATAAGGAGGAGCAGTAAAAAAAAATAATCTAGATTTATATATTTATATAAATGTGAATTTGTATTACTGCTCCTTATTTGCCCCCACTCTATTGGTTACTTCTCAATTGTATTATTATTAGTAGTAGTAGTAATAGTAGTGGTAGTATTTACATAGTAGTTATGTATTCTGTAACACTTTAAAATTGTAGAATGGAATATATGACAACAAGTAATTGACATACAGAATGCTAAAAGAAACAAGAGGTGAAGAAGGGCCTACTCAAATGAGTTTACAATCTGTAAACCAGATGATCAGTAAACCGATTGGCCCATTTTCCCCGTCTCTTGGTTCATCTCAATAGCTTTTCACAAAGCATTTGCATGGACAAAATTCGTCCTAACTGAAACACCACATGGATGAACTATGATCCACCCAAACGATTTTTTTTTTTTTTTGGCAAACACATTTTATCTTCTGCTTTACTTTTTAAATTTAGCTTTTAGTTAATCTAAAGCGTTGGCTGAGCATAGGGAGTGATGGCAAGTTTAGCTTACCAATGACCAAAGTTATCCCTGATATTTCAGTGAATAAAGAAGGATGATCCAGGCACTTAAAGGGAAACTATAGTGCCAGGAAAACAAATTAGTTTTTCCCAGTAGTCTGTCTAGATGATTGTGCAATAATTACCTTTGCATGGTTAAGGAACCTGGGACACTGCACCCAGACCACTTCAATGAGCTGAAGTGGTGTGGGTGCCTGTAGTGTCCCTTTAAGGTAGACTAACTGGCAGATTCTACCTTCAACAAACCTGTCAGTTATTCTACCTTGAGTGTCTTGATCATTCTTCCTTGTTTATTTGTATGTTGACGATTTGACAGCTTTGAGCACCTTGGATTATAAAAGTAGGGTGGATCTCCTCGAATTGTTTCAACTAATATGCTATTAGGTCCCATTTCAGTGTCTGTGTCTTTATTTGTTTATGTTATTGTTCTTCTTACCTTGTATTTATCGGGGACCTACTGTAACTACTATAGATTTCCACACAAAGCTAGGGATGAAACAACTGGAAGTGAGTTACCTATCACTAGACTACGTGGTGCAGCCTAATCCATGAGTGTAGACTCCAGTATTTAATCCAGTCCTCTCATGGTACTTTAAAGTTTATTTTATTGTTAGTATAAAATATATAATATACCTCAATATTGATACATGTTCACTATCCTTTACTGGAATTCGCCATAATTTAGCATTTTGTAGAAAGCCTAGCAAAATATCTTATACAAGTATTGTGAGAGCCATATGTCTGTTTTGTTTGTGTGTGTATATATATATATATATATATATATATATATATATAAAAAAGATTCAAGCAGACTCTAGATCTATTCTGGGAATAGCAAGACCAAACTAGAGCTAAGAATCTCAGGAAAACAGTTCATTTAGCAACACTGCGCCTCAGGTTCTAAATTACTTTGTCAGTTATAGTCAGTGATTTGTTTGGAGGTATTCATGGTATGTTGAATAAAAAAATGACATGCACGTGTAGACCCCCATTTTTCAGAATTTTGACATGCTATCTGATCTGTAATTACTCCAATGTATCTAAAATGAACAGATGTTAGTGGGTGGTATGTTGTAACAATATTTGACATGTATTCTACTGGTACATACATTTGTATCTTGTCTGTGCAGAATTTTTTTTTTTTTTTATAACGACAACTTTTAAATATGCACAATTTAAAGAAAAACACAAAACATGTTATATGAAGTACGTTTGTACTACTAATCCTTTAAGTGTAATGCACTTATAAATTATTCAAATTTGCACATCAACCAAAAAGCAACAGCTGTACAGACTCCTGAAAACTAAGATTTTAACAAAAATAATGAGCAATATCTCTAGTTTACAAAGTTTAGAGTTTTAATATGTTTTAATGGTGTGAATATATATTTTTTTTTTTAGGACACTCTATGTTAAAATTACAGTTTAGTCCATTGATAATGTCACATTTATGCAGGCTCTGTACATTTTCTGTGCAATAATAATAAGATAATAAAAAAGCAAAGAATATGCTAAGTATTTGTTAGCTGTTATTAATTTACATAAACTACAAATCATGTAATGGGTTGGTCATGCATAATTAATCAATGTTAGGGAAGTAAAAGGAGAAATCTGAGGTAAAAATCTCTGACATTTAGAATTAGCAGAACTGGGGATTTTGTTTTCTGTAATTCCCTTGTTATTTCTAAACAACTGCAGGTTTAGGGAGTTTAAATATTATTTAAACTAAATCTACTAATTAACTCCTTCACTACCAAGTAATAGATATATTATATGCTGAATAATGAAGTTACAGAGAAGAAAACAGTATTTCAACCTATGGTGATGATATGGGGGAAGGAGGAAAGGGAGGGTAAGGGGAGCCACTGCCTCCCTAGATTAATCCTTATCCTGCACCCAAAGCACTAGCACTCAGGGGGCACTCATACATGGCAGAGTAGGCAACTGCCTATCAACACAACAGGTGCATTCTCTGCCCAAAAATATTGGTTTATGAAATAAAATAGTGATCAGGCACTCAATATGATACAAAAAAACAAACTTTATTGATGCAAAAACTGCAACATTTTGATACAGCGGGTCTCTGTCAAGCAACCACGTTATTGCAAAAGTGACCATTAAATACCATTTCATGGTCACTGTTGAAATAATGCAGTAGCTTAAAAAGACTCGCTGGGTAGAAATGTTGCTGTTTTTGCTCCAGTAAAGCAATTTTATAAAATTACCTTGAGTGTATGTATATATTTCATATATCTAAAGTGGGGTTTGGCCATCCTTGGATCCGGTGCACATTTGCAGCCTGGTGAGTGCAGTTTCCTCTACCTACCTACCCAGAAAAATTGATTTAACAGATAGCTCTCTCATTTGGTATCCTTAAATATGACAATCCTACATAAATATAGCAAAAAGAGGAGTTCTTTACTGAATAGTTGTAAGATCAAAATTAAGGAGTGTTATTAGCCAGGCCATAACAATAATTCTAATGTGAACTCTGTGAAAATTTGGTGTCTAATACCAGCATGCATAACAAGCTGGTGCCAGACAGCCAATGGTGACATGTTACCCCCTCAAGTAGAAATTATTAGTTTTAAATGTGGTATATTATGTGCCTCTCCCATTTATTGTTCCTAGAGTTGCCACTGAATCCAACTAATAATGTGTTTGAATATGTAAAACAGGAAGTTTTTCCCCATTTATTCCATGTTGATCCAATGTATTCCAGTATATATTGTTCCATGTGTACTAATATTGTCCCCAAAATAAGAGGGTGCTTTATAGCAATCCACCTCTTGTTGATTAACAACCTTTAAATTCTAGGGCTAACATAGCCCCATATATGGGGACAAGGATTAGCCAGAAACTTAAACAACTTTAGCTTAATGAAGAAGTTTTGGTGTATAGAACATGCCCCTGCAGCCTCACTGCTCAATCCTCTGCCATTTAGGAGTTAAATCCCTTTGTTTATGAACCCTAGTCACACCTCCCTGCATGTGACTTGCACAGCCTTCCATAAACACTTCCTGTAAAGAGAGCCCTATTTAGGCTTTCTTTATTGCAAGTTCTGTTTAATTACGATTTTCTTATCCCCTGCTATGTTAATAGCTTACTAGACCCTGCAAGAGCCTCCTGTATGTGATTAAAGTTCAATTTAGAGATTGAGATACAATTATTTAAGGTAAATTACATCTGTTTGAACGTGAAACCAGATTTTTTTCATGCAGGGTCTGTCAATCATAGCCAGGGGAGGTGTGGCTAGGGCTGCATAAACAGAAACAAAGTGATTTAACTCCTAAATAACAGTGAATTGAGCAGTGAAATTGCAAGGGAATGATCTATACACTAAAACTGCTTTATATGGCTAAAGTAATTTAGGCGACTATAGTGTTCCTTTAACGTGAGATTTCAAAGAGAATGCAAAGTGAAATTTAAGGTCTAAATAGCTAAACTGTGAAAAATTCTCTAAGTCAGCTATGCATTCAGTTCAGCTACTTTAAAATCACTTTGAATTATCTACTTACTGTTAACTTGAATATCTATCAAGGCAAACAATGCTATTGCGTGTTATCTTCAGCCATGGAAATAGGCGCAACCAAAATAAAAATAAAAAATCTTAAAAACACTGTGGACAAAACAACTTATAAACAATAACAATTCTTAAAACGTTCAATTGAGCTTAAAAGTGGCATTTATATGTCCATACATCACTGAACCTTAAGCTTTAATTGCAATCAAAATATATTAGACAAATTCGGAAACTATTTGTCTAATGGTCAAAGCCTAAGATGACTGAGGTTAACATCAACTTTTGCCAATTCCCATCGCAGTTACTTGCAACGGCTGCGGGAAACAGACTTCTCATGCATAATGATCAACCCAAGCCTGTGGTATATTTTTAATATTAAGTCTCATTGTTATTTGTATTAATTAGAAGCATGCGTTGTTTGTAAACTAATCCTATTCTGCAACATTCAAAATTAGATCCAATGTCTATTTTTTATTAAGTGGAACAAAGTGTACTTTATATCATTCACTTGTGCCATTAAAGTTGTCGCATAAAGAAAACAATTCTGTTAAATTCAGGTCTGGGGAACGGGCGGGCCAGTCCATAGCATCAATGTCTTCGTCTTGCAGGAACTGCTGACACACTCCAGCCACATGAGGTCTTGCATTAGGAGGAACCCAGGGCCAACCGCACCATCATATGGTCTCACAAGGGGTCTGAGTATCTCATCTCGGTACCTAATGGCAGTCAGGCTACCTCTGGTGAGCACATGGAGGGCTGTGCGACCCCCCCAAAGAAATGCCACCCCACACCATTACTGACCCACTGCCAAACCGGTCATGGTGGAGGATATTGCAGGCAGCAGAACGTTCTCCACGGCGTCTCCAGACTCTGTCACGTCTGTCACATGTGCTCAGTGTGAACCAGCTTTCATCTGTGAAGAACACAGGGTGCCAGTGGTGAATTTGCTAACCTTGGTGTTCTCTGGGAAATGCCAAACGTCCTGCACGGTGTTGGGCTGTAAGCACAACCCCCACCTGTGGATGTCGGGCCCTCATACCACCCTCATGGAGTCTGTTTCTGACCGTTTGAGCAGACACATGCACATTTGTGGCCTGCTGGAGGTCATTTTGCAGGGCTCTAGCATTGCTCCTCCTGTTTCTCCTTGCACAAAGGCTGAGGTAGCGGTCCTGCTGCTGGGTTGTGGCCCTCCTATGGCCTCCTCCACGTCTCCTGATGTACTGGCCTGTCTCCTGGTAGCGCCTCCATGCTCTGGACACTACGCTGACACTCACAGCAAACCTTCTTGCCACAGTTTGCATTGATGTGCCATCCTGGATGAGCTGCACTACCTGAGCCACTTGTGTGGGTTGTAGACTGCGTCTCATGCTACCACTAGAGTGAAAGCACCGCCAGCATTCAAAAGTGACCAAAACATCAGCCAGGAAGCATAGGAACTGAGAAGTGGTCTGTGGTCACCATCTGCAGAACCACTCCTTTATTGGGGGTGTCTTGCTAATTGCCTATAATTTCTACCTGTTGTCTATCCCATTTGCACAACAGCATGTGAAATTGATTGTCACTCAGTATTGCTTCCTAAGTGGATAGTTTGATTTCACAGAAGTGTGATTGACTTGGAGTTACATTGTGTTGTTTAAGTGTTCCCTTTATTCTTTTGAGCAGTGTATACAGCATATACACACAATAAGTACAGGGAGTGCAGAATTATTAGGCAAATTTTGACCACATCATCCTCTTTATGCATGTTGTCTTACTCCAAGCTGTATAGGCTCGAAAGCCTACTACCAATTAAGCATATTAGGTGATGTGCATCTCTGTAATGAGAAGGGGTGTGGTCTAATGACATCAACACCCTATATCAGGTGTGCATAATTATTAGGCAACTTCCTTTCCTTTGGCAAAATGGGTCAAAGAAGGACTTGACAGGCTCAGAAAAGTCAAAAATAGTGAGATATCTTGCAGAGGGATGCAGCACTCTTAAAATTGCAAAGCTTCTGAAGTGTGATCATCGAACAATCAAGCATTTCATTCAAAATAGTCAACAGGGTCGCAAGAAGCGTGTGGAAAAACCAAGGCGCAAAATAACTGCCCATGAACTGAGAAAAGTCAAGCGTGCAGCTGCCACGATGCCACATGCCACCAGTTTGGCCATATTTCAGAGCTGCAACATCACTGGAGTGCCCAAAAGCACAAGGTGTGCAATACTCAGAAACATGGCCAAGGTAAGAAAGGCTGAAAGACGACCACCACTGAACAAGACACACAAGCTGAAACGTCAAGACTGGGCCAAGAAATATCTCAAGACTGATTTTTCTAAGGTTTATGGACTGATGAAATGAGAGTGAGTCTTGATGGGCCAGATGGATGGGCCCGTGGCTGGATTGGTAAAGGGCAGAGAGCTCCAGTCCGACTCAGGCGCCAGCAAGGTGGAGGTGGAGTACTGGTTTGGGCTGGTATCATCAAAGATGAGCTTGTGGGGCCTTTTCGGGTTGAGGATGGAGTCAAGCTCAACTCCCAGTCCTACTGCCAGTTCCTGGAAGACACCTTCTTCAAGCAGTGGTACAGGAAGAAGTCTGCATCCTTCAAAAAACATGATTTTCATGCAGGACAATGCTCCATCACACGCGTCCAAGTACTCCACAGCGTGGCTGGCAAGAAAGGGTATAAAAGAAGAAAATCTAATGACATGGCCTCCTTGTTCACCTGATCTGAACCCCATTGAGAACCTGTGGTCCATCATCAAATGTGAGATTTACAAGGAGGGAAAACAGTACACCTCTCTGAACGGTGTCTGGGAGGCTGTGGTTGCTGCTGCACGCAATGTTGATGGTGAACAGATCAAAACACTGACAGAATCCATGGATGGCAGGATTTTGAGTGTCCTTGCAAAGAAAGGTGGCTATATTGGTCACTGATTTGTTTTTGTTTTGTTTTTTGAATGTCAGAAATGTATATTTGTGAATGTTGAGATGTTATATTGGTTTCACTGGTAATAAATAATTGAAATGGGTATATATTTGTTTTTTGTTAAGTTGCCTAATAATTATGCACAGTAATAGTCACCTGCACACACAGATATCCCCCTAACATAGCTATAACTAAAAACAAACTAAAAACTACTTCCAAAAATATTCAGCTTTGATATTAATGAGTTTTTTGGGTTCATTGAGAACATGGTTGTTGTTCAATAATAAAATTAATCCTCAAAAATACAACTTGCCTAATAAATTCTGCACTCCCTGTATACACAGGTCTACTGAAAGTTTTAGGATGTTTTATTGTATATGTCAATAATTATCATAATTGATTAAATAAGAACATTGATCTATTTTATCTGATTCAAATAAACTGAAAGTCTAATTTGTGAAATGGTTTAATATAACAAAAAAAAATTGAATGAAAAGTGTAAATAAAATTACTTGAGTTAAAGTGTTTGGTAATTAGTAAGAGTAGTTAGTCCTTTCCTCTAAGTGTAGATGGGTTCAGTCACTATTGATTTGGCGTAAAACATAACTCAGTTGGAAACCGCATAAGAATTAGAAAACATTCCAAAGCGTCAAAAAAGATGTAACTGTAACAAACACTTACAGGCTGCCTGTCGATGTAGACATGTTGAGGCATTATATCTCCCCTGTTATTATGGTTGTTCCTAATCTTAGCTGCCTTCTAAATACAGGAACACTAAGATGTCTTGGCGCAGTTGAATTGATGGTGAGTACTGATACAATTTGCACCTCAGATCCCTGTTTTGCAATAATTTAATTGCAAAGTTAAGACTCTGGGACCCAATACTACTGCACTCGACTGCAGTATGAGGAAGGTATAGCAAGGGGGCCTCTGATATAACTGGGCATCCATTGGGAAGTAGTCATTTTAAATTAAGAAATAGTATGTATAATAAGGAAAGAAGCTGGGGCTGTAGTTCCAGCTTTGTGGTTAAACCACTGCAAAGCAGTTAACCCCTGAATGTAAGATGGTTCCCAGACAATCCCTCCACTATAAAAATCCAAATGAGCTTTCTTTGAGGTGGGTTGAGGAGCAACTGGCAAATTCCATAACTGTCAATGTATAAATTGTTAACCGTCTATGAATAAAGGGGGCATGTCCCCTCTACTCCAGAATGGAAAGCTGCCAGCAAAACTGCCAAGCAGATCTACCCAGACTCAGAGCATGACTAAAGTGATTGCATACACTGGAATGTTGAATTCCAGCTAAGTCATGTGTTAGCTTTTTGGATTTTTTTCTCAAATCCACAAAGGTTTAACACGAAAGAAAACACATGGAGAGGGGGGGGGGGAAAAATCTAAATTGGCCTGTGTTATTGTGTACTGTGGCCCATGAAAATCAAAGAATGACTACATAGTCTTTCTTTGCTCCATCAGAGATTCAATACATTTGCTATGAGGGATTTTAAATTACCCATAATCATTTCACATGCTATCCATGCACATTAGAAATGGGTGATATAGCTATTTTGAGTACCATTGGTTTTCTGCTTGGCATGTTCCATTTACATCACTTGTGTTCAATGCTTTTAGCATGTTGGAATTTTCAACACTAATATTTACCAATGCACACGATGCAGTTACATTCTGAGCTGCCATCCTGACATTCTTTATGACCTCCTGGAGAACTGTTTTGTACCCACTGCTCATGGATTTTGTACTCCTAGTTCATGGGTTGATTTCAGCTGCACATTTATTCCTAGGAAGCAATTTATCTCATATAACCACTTCTGAGGAAATATAATTGTTCTTATATTGCATAATAATATGCATAATAATTTGGAAGGGCCCACAACATTTTTCACACCACTATATTTTGCCTAGCTTATTTTCATATAGTAACAGCAGTAGTCCAGGCACTCAAGGTCTTTATATAAATCAGCAGATTTATTGTAGAAATATGACAGATACAGCAACGTTTCAATCCCTTCAGGGATCATTATCAAGCTTATTAGCTTATTCTCATAGCACAGCTTTCCATGACTACACTACAACAAATATGTACAGTAATAACAACACTAGTTCCAGAACTTTGCTGAAGGTCTTCTTTCAATGGCTAGGTTGTATGACACAAGTCATAAAAATGTATCACAACGCACCAAACTATCTCTATAACTGCTTGGGTCAAGAGTGTAGTTATACACATTGTACATAAGTACTTTAGAACTCACTTACTCAGGTCCCCCGTTGAACTCCGCTACCAACGTTTGAGAACACCAGACGCGCAGACATGTCGGGTGTAAAGGTTGCTGTGTCATAGTGATATAAGGCACTGATTCGTTAATCACTGCTTCATTAATCACTTTACAAAACAATTGTTGTATAACACCTTACACTAATTTCGATATTAAGAGAAGGAAATGTAAACCTGTCTAGTGTAATATCTGTCTCCTTTTGAATCTTCCATCAGACAATTACTATGGCAGGTGGAAAAGCAATAGCCAGATATCTCTGGCTTGTAGACAGACAGTGATTCGTGTAGGAAACTGCTGAGTGTGAAAAGTAGCAGCAGCCCTTTAGTTTTGATAACATATTGGCACACCTGGCTCTTTCCGGCTATACTTCAACCAAAGACACATAGAACCTTCCTCTTTGCCCAGTAACCCTTCAAAAAGCATATAAACAAAGCAAGTACCCATCTTGACATGTACAATTGCTTCTTTAACCTGTTATTTTCTATAGTGAACTAATATTAATTGACAGTGTACAGCAATACACGATCACAGATTTTACTGGATACCCCTTCTCAAACTATTGCATGGATAAAACAATTTTTTATTTTACTTTATTCAGAAATAAGGTATGATGATATGTATCTGTGGTATGCATTTATGGTTGTATTCAATATTGCAATGAAAAAAAATGAGTCATTGTCACTATCAGTTTAAAGGGAAACAATTATTTGGTTCATAAGGCTTTGTTTCTTTTCCTTGTGCCACAATTTGCATTTTATTAACAGAACAATTACTGACTGTTAGCTGTATGATATCAGTGTGAGCACATTCATCATTCAAGTAACTTGACTCAGAGGGTCAATGTAGGACAAGCAACGGAAGTATATATCCATAATGGGCTAATCCAAGTGCCAGCAGCAAAAAAGAAAGTGATGTTACCCTTTTGAAGTATTCAGTGTCAGAGCAATTTCTTGCTTGACATTCTTCTGCAGAAATGGTTCACTCATATCTTAGTTCACCAACAGAGACATTTAAATGTGTACCACATTAGCAACTCTTCTTTTCAATATTAGCACTAGTATGACCACCATTTTATATACAATCTCTAAGCCTTTCCCTACTCCCAGTTTTAGTTAATAAACCCCCCTTAAGTTACTTTACTGATGGTGCTGCCACAATAGTGTCACAGACAAGATTTAATGCTGTTAGTTCTGTTACTAAAATATGTGAACACCCACCACAGTGTTCAATTATGTCTAGGACAGAGTCATGGGTGGTTATATTCTGTAGAATGAAAACATGTACATTTAATAGTAAAAGTGTTACTCCAAACACCATAACCACTTTATGGATTTCAACTGGAACGTGTATGTGCATTTTTTTACAATTTGGGGGCACGCCAGCAGAGCAAATATTACTTTAACCAAAAGCAGTGTTTTACAAAAACACTGACTTTTGCTTGGACCAATCGTTTAATACCCATTTTTCCATCAAAGGGTTATTAAAGAGTTATTCTAAGAATTACATCCATTTCAGTGATTTGAAGTGGTCATTGTCCTTGGAGGCTGTATGTGCAGCATTTCAGTTTGGTATTTTATACTGATACCAGGGGTATAATTCCACCTCTGGCTGTTCCATTAGCCAACCTAGAAGGAGAGTACCAAGCTGGCTAATATCAGTAATGTGCATATTTTATGCACAGAGTCACTCATTGGCTTAGAATGCTCAACTGATGCATTCAGTGAATAAATGACCTTGGGGTCAGTTCTGCAGAAGCCAGGCATGCATCACCATGCAAGGCATGCAAGGAGGCTAGGTGCCTGGTGGGACCCAGGTAAGAAAAGATATCCTTGCTTAATAGTTTGCCCCATTATCAGTGCCAGAGAAAACAAATAGCGGACACTAGGCATACATGTAACAACACACCTTACACTGCTAACAATAATTCAATACTTAATGCAAAATTTAATTATGTGTACTTGTTTATATTAAAACTACCACATCATCTTTCATGATAACTGTATACGATCTAGAAGCTAAAACAGGGAATGGGTGCATCGGCCTAACAGTTATGTTAAATTCCTTGGGGCATAAATATGTTAAAATAAGTATATCTAATTACCATTTACAGCAAATTATAAAAATATTTCATTCAATTATCTCAACAATCCTAAGGCATTGATAAATGTCCTATTTTATATACTTGATCTCTCTATTAAAGGTATACCATTGTTGCCAAATTATTTTAATTTCATGTTGTCTGTGTTCCCTGTATTATAAAATTAAAAAAATACACAAATTTTTTATTTATTTTATAACACAGTCAACACAGACAATATGGAACTAAAATAAAATGTATATTATTTCTCAAACTACTGGTAATTTTAAAGAACATTTACTGTTTTCATGTATCACTGACCATACACAAAGCAACATGTGCTTCAAGGCTCAATAAATTCCTTAAAAACTAAGTGAAAGACTATAGAAAGACACAACATTACTTGACAAAATCCTTATAAATGCTGTGGATATTAAATCACAAAGACAGCTTCATTTTATTTGACTTCTTGGAATGTGGTTTGCTAGTAAATGCATCTTTTAAATGACTCTCCGTAATGAGAAATACATTGTTGAGACAGTTTCTGTAACATGAGGAGAGCCATTTTCCAGCCAAACTGATTACATCCCAATACAAACAGCTTGGCACATGAACATAAAAGTACACGTGTTAGTTTAGAACAAAGAAAACCACTTAGAACAGCACATCGGCCAAGTCAGGTCAAATGTTAGATCCTAAATAAAACCCACACTGTATCTGTAGAATTAAGTCATTGTAGGACATCCAGTGGAATACTGTATAAAGAACAACCCTTGCAAAAGTCATATATAGAAGAATTGAATAATTTGCTGTCATCCTGATCTTATCTCTAGAGACCTATACCAACATGGATTGTTGGCAGCCCCATAAATCTCTACTGTCATTACAAAAGTTCTCAAGTTGGCATTTTATTTAGGAATGTGATAATTAAAGCCTAGATTGTTATGATGGCTAGAGTGTCACTGCTTCTTAAGGCTGTTATTAATAACCCAATTCTCAAGGCGGACCAATAGACCAATCTTTGACATTGTTCTCAGTGGAACAAAATTAAAAATCAGATACTTTTGAGCAAAAGCAAAGATTGTCAAATGAAATCCTCAAGCACCTTCAAAGTCTACATATTTTTAATTTCCCAATTGAACAGAAGATGGATATTCTAATGTGGTGAGTGCTCAAATACATGTGTGTGAGGTATAACTGATAAAATTAATTGTAGAAATCCACATTGCTGTATTATTCTCTATACTGGAATCTGGGGTCATTTGTCTTAAAGGGACACTGTAGGCATCCAGACCATTTTATCTCAATGAAGTGGTCTAGGTGCAATGCCCCTGTTCCATTAAGTATAGTGGCTTCCCGACAACTACTAAAAGTGCTTTCTGCTTACTGATGGAGTTTAACTCTGTAAAATAAAGTTTGATTTCACCATGCCTTCCATGAGGACATCTAATGCCTTAAAATTCCCCACAGCAAAGCATTGATTCAATGCTTACCTATAGGGAAGCTTTAATGCATGTACAAAGCTCGCTGGACATGTGCATTAACCCCTTAAGGACACATGACATGTGTGACATGTCATGATTCCCTTTTATTCCAGAAGTTTGGTCCTTAACGGGTTAAGTTCCCCATCAAAGTACCATTGTCCGAGTAGGTTGGAATTAAGGTAAGTTAACAAAGTGTTTTTAACCTTTTATTCACCGGGAGAAGGGGACCTTTACAAATAGAGACAGGGACACTATAGCCTTATAATATACCGGTTTGTATTGCTAACGCTACAGTGTTCCTTTAACTCCTTGTCAAAAGGGTTGGGATCTTGTATCCATCTGAACATAGTTAGTGGAAGAGAAGAAACAGAAAAAATATTTCTGTTCTCCTCTTCATTTGCATTGTGTGCTCTGGGTATGCTTGTAATAAAATGGTTTGTATTGTCACTTGTTAAGTCTTTATTATACATTTTAAAAGAAAAGGGAGCATCACATGAAATAAAGGTTAACATGAATTATATATCATTTTAATGTACCATTCAAATGTGTAATTTCCAGAGTAGTGACAGTTTCCCTTTAATCACCGCTGTTCAAAATGGTGCCATTTTGGCATTTAACAAGCGTAAGGTATATTGGATTGGCTTTGGTTTGGTCCATTACAGTTGTTTGAGTGCAGACCAAGTATGCAACAAGTTTCAACAGCTTAGTTATGTAAGTTACAATGAGATGCCAGAGAATATGGGAGGTTGTTTTATAAGAAGTGTATTCAATACACACTGAATTGTTGTGAATTTCCTAAATAAATTTTGAGTCAAAATATTTGGAAAAATATCAATAACTTATCAAAACCACATAATTTTCTTTCCAAATGATCTGTTATGCAAATTAGTTAATAAGACAGCAACACCTACTGGTTAGTAAAGAGATCCCTTAGACACTTTTTTTTGTATGTGGTCTAAATACACAAGGATATCCTACAGTAGAATTAGGAAAAGGTAAAATATTGCTTGGTCACTTCTGTTTTGAGATAAAATTACAGTTTAATAATAAAATAAATAAATTTGTACAAAAAAAACCAGATAATCTTTGAGACATTTACATTACATATGCATATTATTCTGTACACTGCTGGTTTCCAGCATAAGAGTGTCACAAAATGTTATCTTCATATTTGCTCATTTAGGAAACCATTTGTCTAGAAATGAACCAACCGTTGCCTCTCCTTAATGTAAGCACCACCTTCTGTTATTCACTAAAGCAGGGGTGGGCAATCTGCGTCCCTCCAGATGTTTTGGACTACATCTCCCTTGATGCTTTGCTAGCATTATGGCCCTAAGAGCATTAAGGGAGATGTAGTCCAAAACATCTGGAGGGCCGCAGATTGCCCACCCCTGCACTAAATGCATGTCCTCTGTATTCGGGGTGCAGTAAGTTACTGGAACTTGAGATAGACTTAGATAATTTTTCCCAGTTTGACTTTGATTTGAAATTAATTTTGAATTATCTCTGAATTCTAACTTGAATTCTAAGTGAATAAGCTTATTAATAAATAATATCTTGCTAATTTGAGAAACATTGCACTAAACCAGCAATTGGTGAGAACTGAGGAATTGATCATTTTTGGCAAACATATGCTAAACTGTAAAAGTCTCCAAAGTCTCAAATTCTGGTATTATTACAACACAGCTAGTTTACAACGCTGCCAGTATTGATTTCAAGAACAATACGAATTTGTTAGATAGAATTTGCAAACACAGATACAGTTGCATCTGGACTCCATACACATTTCTGAAAATGAATGAAACAATTGGAAATTAATTTGGACTATGTTTCAAGATGTACGCTTGTTTGAAAAATGTATTTTTTTGATGTGATATCTATTTTGAAAAAGGTTTTTTAAATATCAAGTTTTAAAAATTATAACTTGGTTCTGTTAATTCAGAGGAACTTTCAAATTTAAGGCAAGAATAGTTGAAATAAAAAGCATAGATGGCTTAGAGAACTTTTACAGTTTAGTTATTTTACCTTAAATTTCACATTCACTTTGAATTCACACTTAAATTCAGGCTAGACTAGTCAAGCTGAGACTAAAGCTGAGCTGGACAATTTTCCCAACTCAGCAAGTTGTAACATAAATTGTGTCATATTTGTCAGATTTAAATTCACTACAAACCAGTGTTTAGGTAATAAACCCCCTTTAAATATGATGAAGATAGCTGCAAATCTCCTCTACTTTCTCTGGCATGTTATAGCATCACTGTCCACATACACAATAGATAGAATATTACCATGCTTTGCTCTAGTTCCTAAAAACTTATGCAACAGAATGTATGGTAACTGGCCTTAAATATTTGGTTACTCACTAATTTCCAGCAGCCGAGTGGTTAATGAAGGAATCAGGATCTGTATTTAAATGTTTCTATTTAAATACACAATTTGCCAATTCAAGCAATCTAATTATACACTGTGCCAAGTGAATGCAAACTTTCATTATATGCATCCACAGTTTATTGTAGTGACTCACAGAGATCAGGCTCACCCTGTACCCCTTTAGGGCCAAGTGAGCTTCCCAGATCTGCACAGCTAAATACAACCTGTGCTCAACCAATCCAAACCCAAATTACAGCAAATCATATAGCATGTGAACTTCATTCCAGTACATGTGATATTAACAATTAGATTAGAAGTAAATGGCATCTTATAGGACACACTCACCTACATAAAGTTATCCTACTGTTAGAAAGTCTTTTAAAATATAACAAGTGTGAATCATTAAAGCACATGTACTAGGACAATGAATTACTATCTTAACAATAAAAGCACAAACATGAAGTCAGTAATCAGATGCTACAAACTAAGCAAAACTATGAAGTCAAAGAGAAATTATTTACAATTGCAGCGATTTTCCTAAACATTTGTTCAATGGAGGAAACCAACCTTAAAAAGTACCACAAAACATGTGTCAGTTTAAGGTTACCAGGGAGTAACTCTCTGAAACTCCTAATTTAGGAAGATAAAAAAAGAAACAAACATGTGTCCAGTTGGCACTTAGGCAGTAACAATAGATATAAAGTGACAGCTAAATTCCAACAACCCTGTGTTAAGAGAGCACATTGTGTGTAAACTAAAGTGAACCCAAATATATGAAATACAGACTCTGTTCAGGACTATGCATTTTTACACAAAATATTAAAAGCAGTAAAAAAAAAAAAAGAAAGTACCTGTAAGTAAAAGAAAGATTTTCAAATTCTGATTGCTTTGTTATTCCTCCAAACCAAATATCCGCAAGGAAATCAGTGCATTAGAAAATAAACCATCAATGCTTTTAGAGTTCTATAATTTCTAATTCTTTTGGAAGAGTCAGCTTTACTTAAAGGGAGCCTTGTCTGGAGTGGATAGAAAAGACTGCTCAACCCCACTTATATAGTCTACTCTCCATTGCATGCTGTCAATCAGACCCATAAGGAAGCACTTTAAAGAAAGGAAAAAAAAAAAAAAAATCATTCCTCTGTCGAATGACATAATCCTCTCCAGACTTGACTAAAGGCTGTGGTGTTACTGAAGGTGATGTTAAAGCCTGCCCCTTCGATGAATGAGGAGGGCTTTCCCAGCCTGCTAAGGAGGGACCAGATGGAAAGCCGAGAGAAGTCATTCTTTCTTTGGCGACAAGCATTAATAAAAAGTAACGGGCTGGTGAGAGATTCCATCTGTTGGCAATGTATTTCATTCTTTATTTTATTTCCCTTTTTTTATGAGCACCCACATAAACATTCATGGAATCACGCTAAACCCTTTTCACTGACTCTGCAAAACGTGTATTATCCCTCAGCCACGGTCAGGACACACAGATGTTCTTTACACAAAAACAAAGAGTTGAATCCTTGCAGAGAATTTAATGAAACGGTGGCATATGAGATATGAAAACTAGCCAGAGCATCTGCTGTGGAAAGCAACTCCCATTGCACAGAGACAACCGGAGTCGCGGACTTGCGGCGCATGATGGGAGTTACCCTTCACAGCACTGAGCTGTATTAGTATTTGTTTCGAAATCCATCCCAGCTTTGTTTTTCAGCTATCTCTGCAAGATGGGAGTTGCTTTCCACAGAACCTGGAGTGATAACAATGATGCCTAATGATGCAGTATTATTAATCTGTTTGAGTTTTGCAGTCTGATAATATAGTGAGATATGTGGGGCTTTATAGGGTAAAACCCCATAATCCCTCACATAACTGTAGATTGTAAAGAAACTGAGAGAAGAAAAAAAATAATGTACTGGTGAGGTAGCCCCAACACATGAATTAGCATATGATTGTGAATATGACAGGGTTTATTTGTTTAATAGATGGTTTAAACCAAATTTGCATACATTTATATAAAATAAATTAGTCAATAATGACTCCACCTCATCTGTTAATCTATATTTTCATATCATTATTTGGTTCTACGTTTTTCAACTTCAGTTTTCAGCTTTCCCAAATTCACTGGTAGAAGATAATCTTTGGAGTTTGAAGCTTATTTGGGACATAAACAGACGTTAGTTTTATGAATAAGGAAGTTACATCACTACAAAATGTAGTTTGCAAAATAGATTTCAACAGACACTCCTCTGCCCAAATACAAAACGTTTACATCACTGTTTAGTAGATATATTTCAAATTAAAACATACTGCTTTTAATTATATGTTTTACATTGGTGATATATAAAAACAGCTTGCAAAAGCTGCAGATCTCTTGTCTGAAGCTTTTCCAAGAACTCATCTTCCCCAGTCCAGACTTTCTTTGGCTGTCTCAATGCATCTCAATGACGAATTCTGTAAGGCAGGTGCTTTGGACAAATCTACTTAGCTAAACTATAGGGATGCGAAAGGACAAGTTGTATGACTGACAGCAAGGTGGTTATAACAAGGTTAATTTATATAAAAGTGTCACTTTCTATTGAAATCTGCTCATTTTATAAAATGAAAAAAAGAGGACACAAAATTCACAGCTAAAGTGCTTTAAGGGTCTGGAGTGCCCCTTTAATCCTAAAATATGCATTTTTGGTATGTATTCCCAGGTAAAAGTCTGATAGCATTGTATAAAGAGAGACTATTTGAGTTGTAATGAGTAAAATGTTTTATTTATTTAGTACAATAATGGCCACGTCAACCATAGTGGAGATTTTTTTCCAACTCAAATATGTCAGCCTAAATATTTATAGCTGAATCTCAAATGAATATAAATCGCTGTTTAGTGAATATATATGGTTTCCCTCTTCTTATTCATTATCAGATTGTTTTTTTTAAAATCCTACAATGCTTGCCTTACCATTCCCACAGGAAAGAAGGCTAAACAAAGGCATCTTCCACCTGTTCCATAGTATTTTATGAATTACGCTCTGTTTGCTCACCCTGAAAACACGTTTCTAAATAAGAACATCTGGAGGAAGAGCTCGTAGTATGTAACTACCGGAGAATGTCCACTAAAAAGTTAAACTTTTCTTAAGATAGTACACTGCATTCAATATTATTATTACACTGTTTAAACATGATAAGCTAAAGTATGATGCACTAGAAAGTGCTACATCCAATAAGATTAATTGCTTCTAATTATCTATTACTGTTGACAGGTTTTAAAGCCATTTGTGTACAGTGAAACAGCATAGGAAAATAAGACAATTTTGTCTTCAACATTAGAAGGCTTAGTAGATATCTTTACTCAAACATCTCCTGTTGGGTAAATGTTCTAAGTGGCAATTTCTATTTTTCGTCTGTGAAAACATCAGTGGATTTACAACATTGTGCAAACATGATTTTCATTGGACTAATTAAGTCAGTTTTAGGAAATTTTCATATAGATCTTGAAGCCGGACTTACATGAAAATCTGGGTGCAGTGTTCAAACAATGGCCTGCATTGTTAATAGTCACATTGAGAACAAGGCTGTATAACAGCATTGATACAAAGATCTCAGGTGATTATTAAAGCGAGCATTGTGAGAGTCCTCAATGAAGACCAACTGGGGCTAGAGGTGTAAGAGTTCTGTGACAGCTGGTTAATTTCCTCAAAAAAACTATATTTTTGTTAAAAAATTGTTAATATTACAATAAAGTATTTACTTACAATGAATATCCAGTTTAATGTGCTATAACAAAAGATAATAATAAAAAGAAAACTATGAAATATCCTCTTTAATAGAGTGACAATTGGCTTTTCATTCGAGAAAAATATCTTGTCACCTAGTAAATCTCTTTATCCCCTTCTTATCGTATTCTAATTCACAGATGTATACAATTATTAAGCTGCATAGTGTTAACTAAACATATGCAGTGAAATAGTGGTAAATAAAATTTTAATACATGATACAGCCTTCCTTATCTCATATATCTCTGTTGTATATAAAGATTAACATTGTTAGATCAGAAAAAAAAAACACATATTGACTTGCCACCCACAGAATGGGTGATAAACATCATTTATTTATTTTTTTGGTTGTACTCTTCTGCAATTCAGTGTGTTGGCATTCTTCTCCCAAAGATTTCACAATTCTGCACTGTTATATTTATCCCTTTAATCACTAAACTTAACACAGGCTGTTTGCCACAACATCCCATGGTTTAGCTAACTCAATATTGTAAAAATCAATCAATCACTAACCAAACAAAAAAAAAAAAACATTTCTATAACCATAAGTTAAAAAACATGTAGTTAAACAACCAGACTCTAGAAAACATGCTGTAATTCTTTATACATTAAACCAACAGCTTCTTCCATGAAGTATTGCCAGATAGTGAAATACAGAATCCCGTCAGGGTAGTATTTATTCTTTCTTACAAGACCCCGTACTGAATGTGGCAAAACCATTCTGCTGCATTAAGGGGCTATTTGGACTGCAAAACCTGGGCATTGTTCATTCTATTCAACAGTATTTGTATTTTGGAATTCAGGCCCGAGCGAGACTGAATTTAATCTGGATTTCAGCTGGATCGAATGACACAGGACAGCTGAACTCTAGACAGAATGTTTCAAATCTGGACCCGGTTTTTCAAATTCAGCAACAATTAAAAAGACTATTACATTTTTGAAACCACAAGTCAAGTTTTTAATAAAATATATAAATTGGATATTTAAGAATAAATATTTTTAATTTGATTTAAAATTCTTTCCAGGGTACGACTATGGGGGCCAGATTTGCTCCTGGCTAGGCAATTTATGGCAAGTTGAGAAGAATTATTTATTTATTCTAGTGAATAAGTGGGAAGCATATCTACAGTAGATGTATAGATAACCTCCTTTTACATGGAAAGAGCCTACAATAAAATTACATATTTTATAATTAGAGGGACACTGTAGGCACTATACCATTTTCTTCCAGTTAAATTTAGTATAGTTTCTGGAGTCCTCTGCCACTTTAACTTCAAGTAGTGTTCCAACTGTTTAACACTGAATGAGGGTTCCTGGCTTTCCTCAGGCCACCCACACTGGAGGTGTGGCCAAGTCAGAGATTACACACTTAGCCATGTAAATTCATATCTGAATAGGTACTGTGATATACTTAAAGTGGTCAGCTGACACTCTCAGCATATCACAGCTGCCCATTGCTGCTCAGGTTAATTCTTCATCTTTACTCCAAGCAGCACAGGCTGGATAATCTGCTGAGAACATGTAATTGCTTTAAAACATTATACATTGTTCAGCTCTGAATCAAAGGATTATGACAGGGGACTACAGACACTATACCCACTTCAATGCTTTCAGTGTCCTTTTAAGCTAAATAAAATGATTAGGGTATCCAAATGACTAATCAATATAGTACTATTAATATTGTAATCTTAGATTTAGAGATCTGTGGATCGACAGAGGGATGAGGTATGGGAGGAACGTCAGGTAAAATAAAAAGATCAGTCTGGTGACAGCATTCATTACAGGTTGTAGCAGGGCAGTTCGGCTTCTGGGGAGACCAACTAGGAGAAAATTACAGTATTCCATATGAGAGATTACCAGAGCATGAACAAGCTTCTTGGCAACATTTTGTGTATGAAAGGGGTAGATATGGGCAATGTTTTTAAGGTGGAATTGACAGGTTTTAGTAACATGCTGGATATGAGGCGCAAAGATGAGGCCAGGACAGCGAGTTTGCCAGGACAGGCTGATGCAAGTACCATCAACTTGGAGGGAAAGCAAAAGAGAAGGATCAGCATTATGAGTAAGAAAGATAAGAAACTCTGTTTTAGAGAGGTTGACTTTCAGAAAGCAGACATCCAATCAGAGACAGAAGAAAGGCAACCGGTGACACGTTCTAGGACAGTTGGTAAGAGATCAGGGGAAGAGAAATATATCTGGGTGTTGTCGACGTACAGGTTGTAGCGGAATTCAAAGGAATTCACCCCTTTCCAAGACAGGCATTATAAAGAGAAAAGAAAAGGAGACCAAGCACAGAGATTTGGGGGACTCCAAACCAAGAAAGGATGAGGCGAGGAGGTGTTTTTAGAAAGGGATACATTAAATAAACGTTGGGAGAGATAGGAAGAGAACCACAAGAGGACAGTATCACTGAGATCAAGAGATTGAAGACATTGAAGA